TCGTAAGTTGTTTTTTTTGTTGTAAGAATTTATAATATGTTTTTAAACTCAATTATTAATTAATAAAGATTTATTCTGAAGTTTACAATTAAGAATAAGTCGCCAAAATTGCTAATATTTATTTCTTGTGTAGATACACTGTATTTTTTTTTTTATAAAACTTTAGGAGGTTTAAAATTCTATTTATTCACTAGGGTTGCGATATATGTATGTATGTATATTTTTTCTTTGTGATGTTCATTGTGAAATTATTTTCATTAAAAATATTTTTCAAGAGACTAAGACAAACAGAAAAAATTGAACAAATTTAAATACTAAAATCTATTACTCCATCAATTTGGTTCATAAACTTGTTGTAGTAAGTATTAGTAGGTATGTAGGTATTATATTTATGTGTTTAAATCAAGTAAAATTTAGATGAATTTAGATATCGGTATCTTCTCTTGGATTTAGAATGAGTTTAAACTTGCAAAGAAAACATTTTCAATAAGACTATGTAGTTTTATTATTTAATTTTATTTTTTCCTAACCAATTGTGTATATCAAGCATACCTTATACCGTATGATCGAAAAAAACGGCGCGTCAGTTGGCTTGGAAATGACGATCGAACTTTTCCCATATAATTTTACATATAAAATGACAGCGATCTTCATTTTATAGCCATCGCTGACGCCGTTTTATTCGATCATACGGTATCTTTGTAGAACAAAAAACCTGCTTCTTTAACTTATCATCATAAAAAATAAGGCTTCCTTCGTTCCAACACACAAACCAAGTTTCTAGTTAATCATTAATTTATCACTAGAAAACAATTACATATCACATTTTTGCACTGATAACCACTGTCAAATCACTATTTAATGTTAGCTGTCAGTCTCTTAAGACTTCGGCTGCAAATGCACTAATGGATATGCATGAGCACATTAGTCCACTTTTTATTTAATATTGCATAGAGTAGATCTTCCATTGTCTTAAGTCCCATCCACTGTCTGATGTTGACGAAGCCATGACATCCTCTCTTTCCCTTAATCTTTCCTTCAATGATCAACTGAAGGAATTGGTATCTATTATTACGTATCACGTAACCCCATCCTCTGTTAATACACTTGTATGCATAATACCGGCAACTTTTTAGGAACATCCGGGTTTGTAGTCCTAATTTTTGGGGCATCTAGTGGATTCAATCAGCATGTCCAGCTTGAAATCATTCATAGTTGACTGGTTGGTATATTTTCTAGCTTGCTGCTTCTAGCAATATATTTTGATATTGTATGCACTAATTTAACTGTTAGGTCACTAATTCTATGACAATGGCAATCGTGTTAACCTTAAAACAGAACATAATTGATATTAAAAAACGATAAATACGATCAAAAACATACATAGATTTATATCGAAGAAATGTTATAATTTTTGCTACAGTAGATTACAGTACTTACCAGTCCTATTATTTTCGGTAGTTCCACAATAGTTCTGAACGCAATATATGCCTGGAAAATCAATATTGGCCTAGGAATTTCTGAATTTCCCTTTTATTTTCAGATTTTGATTGTTTGTTTTGAAGTATCGCGTGAGGTTAGGTTTCATCTTTCATCAACAACAGTTTGCGCGCGCTCCTTTTTCGTTCAAAATTTGTTCGATTGTTTATCGTCTCTATTTTCTTAATTATGCAGTCGAATTATTCTTTTTGGTAATAAATGGAATGTTGGGAATTTTGTTATTACTCTGATTTAAATATTCAGCCCAGAATTTTTTTTAGATACTCATTGTTTTTAAGAAAGACTCTAACATGACCCCAACTAACGGAAAGTAAAATCATTCCTAATAAGGAAACTCTAGTAATCGACCAATTAGAGAGTGAGAAATCCCACCTTTCCTAAAAATTCGAAATCGTAGCGTAGGGGAATACGAAAACTTCTGAGGAGCCCTCGCCACCTGGTGAACAGAGCCCCAAAGCATCCGATCATTGTATATCTATATCATCTATAATCAAGGGAATTATTTAAAAAACGGTAAAGAGAAAATATGTTTCCAACTCTCAAAAATATTTGCAGTTATTTAAGACTCACCCTGTATAACGATATGAAGCTAGAAGAAAAAAGTTTTTTTAAAGAAAGTTAATTTATTAAATAAGAGTGATTATCGGTATAAACAATAAATTGTTTTTATTTTCAATAGATGTATGTAACTGATTAGGAAATTCATGAATATTGTCTCTGACAGACAGCACAGGTGCTATTAGAGCATTTGAAATTGGTGAATAGAAAAATAACCTTGATGTATTATGTATTATTATGTATCTCTTTGTCTAATTTAAAAAGTTATATATCATCTATTAGTCAACATGAATGTTTTATGTTCTCCGGCATAATTTTCGATGTTTTTCTCTGTTCGAAACAACGTAGTAGACCTTGGAAATATTTTTTGTCCATTATGAGCTCTTGTCTATTAATCATCAGATGGACTAGTTAAACGTGTGCGTGCCCATTTGGATTGAACATCATTAACCAAACCGAATTTAAAAATCATAAAATAACTAAAAAGGTGTTACTGTCAAGGTGAAACAGGTTGACAAAAAAACTTGTCCGCTATCTAAGGCGGCGGTGATTTGATTTAACGCATTCATCATGTTCGCATTAAATTTCTATGGGAAGTGTGAAATATCATGGCCGACATCTAACTAAACACATTATTAAAACTATATTAAAACAAATTAGAATTGATTATTCAACTAACCACACCCTTTTAAAATAAATATTTTAGATTTGTTTTATTGACGTCCATTTAGCTTACATATAATAATTTATTTTATTATCTAAGAATATATAAGAATAAAACAAAATAGTTGCTAGTCTGACATAAATTTTCATGGTTTTTGGTCTTAATTGAAATGTATTTTTTTCTCTCTTTGGCATTGAACTTATAACGAAGCTAATCAGAACCAGACACGCACATTTTGTATGTTTTTTTCACACCCATTACAAAATACAAAGTTAAGAGAGAAACAAAAGTAGCCTTTAACAGGCACTACTTCAGAATTAAGAATTAAGTACTATATGATCGAATAAAAACGGCGTCCAGTTGGCTGGGAAATGACGATCGATGACATTCTCCATTATAAATTTTCATATAAAATGACAGCTATCTTCATTTCATCGTTATTTTAAGGTGTTAGTTACATATACAATAGTACCGTCGTACAGTCAAAAATAATTCTGACCTTCTTGACAAAATGATGAAGGTTATGTTTTTAAAAATGCATTTTTCTAAAATAATAATTAATACTACGAATAATGAGCTCGAAGAGTTAGATCTTTTTAAACGTAAATATCTCAAAAACTAAGAAAAAATACCTGAAAATTTGTATTCCATTCGATAAGGAATAAAATTCTCTATCTCTATGCAAAATTTCAGCTCAATCGCAGATACTAATTTTTTCGGTCAACCTTAGGTGTTTTTAGCCGAAAAATTAAGGTTCTCTCCGATTGAGCTGAAATTTTGCATACATACGGAGAATTTGATTCTCTATCGAGTGAAAAAAACATAGGTATTTTTTTCCTAGAAAAAAGTTATTAAGGGTTATAGTTTATTGCCAACGAGGTCCAATCGTTAGAGATCGCACATTTTGTGGAAAAAAATTCGCAGCATCAGTTTACTCAGTTTCTACCACCATTTATCACTACGGGCATCACTTTAGACCATTTTAAACTAAATTTAGTGTACAGGGTGTCCCATTTTCGTGTGATAGAAAAATGCGGTTTTTACATCACTGTGCTACTTGTTTATAAAACTAAAGAAACTACACACAGATTTATCCTAGACATCTTAGTTCATGATATACAGGGTGAATTTGAAATTGTGGCATTTTTGTTACTCAAACTTGTGTTTTTAATGGGATATCCTATACATTATTTTTTCATTTTATTTGTCTTCTTATGAGCTGTCTAAAATATAATATTCTCTACTTATTTTCTCATAAATAACGTAACAAATGCACAATTAAACTGTTTAACATAAATCAACCTAGTTTAAGATAGTATTATTATTTTATTTTATTTAAATAGATAATTCTGTTTATCATCGTGTTATCTTAATAAACTACACTGAAAATGAACTTGTGCTGCTGTTAGCTGCTGTCGATCAGAGACATTTTCACCCCATACTGTTAATCCATAAAAATATTAAAGCTGCTCTGAAACAATAGCTTCACACCTCTGCAAATACATACTAAGAAATAGCGCATCATCATACATAGGCGTAGCCTGAGGGGACATAGCGGGATATTTACCCTTACCATCCCTTATAAATAATAAAATTTAATCGTACTTTTGATCCAACATTTAAATTGTCTGTGTGCCGAGCTCGAGGACAACCTCTTTCATAATCATTATTCTTCTATAGGTTTGAAGAAATAAACACATCATTCATTATTTATAATTTTACTTTGACTTATACGACACAAGTGCTGTCGATTTTATAAAAGAAATATAAGTACTCTCAAGATAAACTAGTTTCTGATTATAATTTATGTCGTTTTTCATGAAGGCGCGCAGGTGTACTGAAACATGACCAAATATGTATGTATTGTACTTGCTTTTTTTCATGTAATTTTAAGTGTACGTATATAGATATTGTATGCCACTTACCTTTATATCTGCTTCCATTTTTCTGCAAAAGACAATTGTCAGCCTCAAAAAATGCCCATACCTGAAGAAATAAAGAATTTTATGTGTATTTACTTCAAAAGAATTTATATGGTTTTTGTTAAAAAATATCAAATAAATTAACAGAAAAATTAATAATGTCATTAAATACGGATCTGCTAAAAAACTGTTAATATTTTAGCGAATACGTCTTCAGCCTCTATAAAATAAGTATATATAATTCTATGCATATTATGTGAAATTCAGATTTTTAAGAGCATTAGAAACATCTTTATCAAACATGTTAATTGAAAAAATCGCATTCTTTAGCTTAAGAATGGTTTTCTTTGTTACAGAATGGGCTCTTCATCGCTGAAAACGAGTCAGATGGTATAGGGATATGTCCCTACGACCCTAACCACAACAGTACAGCGATCTACAGTTCGGGACATTTATTTTCGGCGACAGTTGCTGACTTCTCAGGAGGAGACCCACTTATTTACAGGGACCCCTTTCGGACGGAATTATCTGATCTCAAACATCTCAATGGTAAATTATGGTTTTGGGCTCGATTTCCCTTCAAATTGTACCTCCAGCCAGCTGGGATAATAGTCAATTGGACTCAGTTTGGCTCGACGAATTTTGTAGTATATAATCACATTCATATATTGCTAATAAAACTACTATTCAGTGGTCTGCAAAATATTTTAGTTTTAAAATCCTAAATATATCAAAACCTGTGAGCAATAATAATTACTTTTTTCTTGTCCATGACTAAGCAATGTTTAATTTCATGCAGCAATAAGCGAATAATTTAAATAAATAACTGGTAAAACTATTTTCAATATAAAATTGAATACCTTTTATTTATTTTTGCATAATTTTTAACTATTTTTAGTTGAAAATTAGAAAACACAAATCAGATCTTCAATTTCTCTTTAAAGAACGTTAAATGATCGTGTCGAAACATTTTTTTTTCGATAGTAATAGAATAATTATTGATTTTATGGTTTAAAAATGACTCCGAAATTGCTTTTTGTTAGAATATAATTAAAAATAAATAAACAGACTTGAAAGAAAACGCGGTTCACGGTCGTGAACAAGTGCACATATCGCGATGAATATTTTCTGCATGTGTAGGCAGATTCTGAAAGGATCTCTCTATGTCGAGTTGACTATCGTCCCTCCAGCTCCTTATCTAAAAAAAGGTCTCTTTTAAAAACGGATCCCGCCGTGATATAAAGGCCCATAATGAGCTATTCTTCGTAGGCCACCGCACCGCAAGTGGAAGGCCATTTTGCTCCTATTTTATATCTTTTCGTTCGTCTTAAATACGTCGGGCGTTAAGCAGCGGCAGCGGCCGCCATTTTTGAACGGGCGCCGCCATTTTACTTCACCGGAAGTAACGTTTTAACTTAATTTCGAGCCCCCTGGTCATCGAGCAGTGGCACGATCTGCCTCTGGAGATCTCTCGGTTGCAAATATGGTTGTTTGTAAATAATTTGTAACGGTCGCTTTTTCACTGAAAGCATTTTACGATTCGAGTACATACACTGCTTAAAGAAATTAGGTGGGCGTCAGGTCAATATACAGTATTATATGTTAAAACTTGGAGAAACCTTCTCTAGAATGGTGGAGAAATTCACAGGCTAAAAAGTTCATAGTAGAACATTCGCCAAAATTTGGCAGGCCAGATAAGCAAAGACAGAAAGACGCAGTCAAAGATGTATAGTGGATCTACCAACAGCGCATTGTAAAAGCTTATAGGATTGATGGACGAAGTCAAGTGCAGGTTCTGTCAATCTATAGAAGAAACGACAGCACTGGGAAATATGCGGTTTAGGTGATTCTGAAGCTATAATAGCTAATATTAAGATGACACAGCGAAGTGAGACTCATAACAGTAAAGTGAGAAAGACAGCCCTTCAAAAAATCGTAAGCTTGGTATTCGCCGTGGAAACTGCGATAACTAGCTTTTAGCCATATTGGAAAGGTATCTTTACTTGCATAAGACAAAAGTAGAAACGAAAAATTCCATTCCAGTTCTTATCCATATGACAAAGATGGCCCTATTGTGAAGCTTAAAAATGTATTATTAACGTTTAGTGGGTTGAGGAAGAGACAAATAACTGTTGAGCCTTACCAAGCCTTACCAAAGAATATATTATGATATTCTTTGGCCTCACTCTCAAAAGATCACAAACTTGGAGTCACTAGACATATATTTATTTTATTGTTGTACCTATCTTTGTCACATCCATCAATATGACAAAGGCCGAAAGGTGATCTTATTGAGAAAATTCAGATGGTTCGGAAACTTGTACAGAAATTAACAGTGAGAGACTGGATATGTTTAAATTATTATGTTAACTCATTATGCTAAGCCTACGTAAAGTCGTATTCTAATTAAAAATCAGGAAGTGATTATGTTATATACTCCAACATATCGTATTACCTAAGCACCACTCAAGTCTACAAAACTTAATTTAACAGATATTTAGACTAGTATGGTTGCGAGTAGATATATGTAAAGTTGTTTTGCATTGAAAAAACATAATTATGCGCACCTGTTTGCTAAATGTTGCGATTATTTTTTTTTCTCTCTTAGAGGCAAGACGATGATTATAATTCATTATGTTTTTGCAACGATTATTAATATAAATCAAGGTAACATCCCATTATTGAAACAGCCAGATGTCTGTCGGCTTTCGAAGGTTAGAGGACCCGGTAAGAGAATACCAAGTGGTATTTAATTTTAATATATTAAATCAATTAATTCCAACTTACACGACATTGTTCTTACATATAATGATGTCTGAATCACATTCCTGTGAAACACTAATATGTACTAGAAAACAATACTAATTTTATATGAATCATATAATTAAATCAATAATTTTTTTCTTAAGAAAATCTGTTGTTTCAATAAAATGTAGGGTATTAAATATGACACAAAAACGAATTTATATTTCGTTGTGCCCCCAGCAGCGGGTTAAAACCAGAATATATTTTTCTTTAGAAGCGGTAAATGTAAAGAGAAATGCCTGTAGGCGGTTTCATGAATTTTTACGCGAACACACAGTAGCTTATAACTACAATTATTCCAATTCAAGATACTAATGTCGGACCTTTTGAATCAGACTAAGATATAATCTATTTATTTCCAAATAACTTGTTTGCAACCGCTAATAAGCTGAAAAACTGTTATATTTTCCGAGTTATTTAAGTAGCGGTAGTGGTAGCAAGCTGAAAGCTCTTTCGTAGTAGCACTATTGTATATAGAAGCGACTATATATAGCCTTTGGTACTGGTCATATTATGTTTCTTAATGATTTAATCAAAGCAACATTCTCCCGGCTATGTAATAAGCTAGGAAAAGGTATCATCATCACTTCAAATATTTTTCTTTTGCTCTGCTTCTAACAAGGAGGGAAAACAGTGGCGTATCATCTTCAATATTTACCTAATTATTATCTATTTAATACAAAACTCAGTTCAGCATATTTTACTGTTACAAATCTCAGGAAAAGCAATAGAAACACCGAAACGGAGTACTTATTTATTGACAAATATCTGAAAACTCATTGGTTGTTTATTTATTTGACTAAAACATATTGTAACAGCCAACAAACGGATAGCGATTTATCTGAGCAACTATACATTCCGTAGCACAGAGTTGGCCTTGTTTTAAATCGCACCGATCAAATATTTCTTAACATGCAGGGCAACTAATTTTTATTAAATTCTGGTATATAATAATAATGGTCAGTATTAGTTATTAGCCTGGTTAAAATTTCTTTTTAACATTTATATTCATGTAAAACAAATATATGATAATATTTTTCATTAAATAACTATATACGGTTGTTTGATAATTGGAACAGAAATAACTGGTTTGAATTTGAATCACTGTTCTTTCAAAAATGATAATATAATGTGATATATATCATATATATGAATAAATAAACAAAACAAAATTAATTAGTACATTAGGTAAGTCTGTAACTCCGGATTTGGACTACATTCCAGAGTTTAGAAAGCTCAGATATTTTAACAGTAAGCTTTCTAATAATTCAATTAGTAAAATACTGACTTTGAATATAGACAATATAATTACGCCTATACGTTTTATAACGCCTATATATGTTTTATAAAATTATATTTCTTTCAAATTTCAGCTCCGAATTTCGTCAGCTCAATCACGCACGGAGAGTACATCTATTTCTTCTTCAGAGAGACGGCTGTAGAGTTTATGAACTGTGGCAAGGTAAGGATCGAGAAAAACGTCGAAAAAATCGAGTTCAAAAGGCAATTCCTTATTTCTTCTTCCAGATAATTTACTCGCGAGTGGCCAGGGTTTGCAAACACGACAAGGGCGGTCCGCATCAATCAAGGAGTAAGTGGACAACATTCACAAAGGCAAGACTGAACTGTTCCGTACCCGGGGAGTACCCATTTTATTTTGATGAAATACGTAAGTACCAGGCAATAAATTTACACGTAATTGGGACTAATACCGCCGCTCCGTCCACTGCCCGTAATGATTTAACCATAAATTAGCCTCCTTCTATTATCTAAGATTAAATATTTAAATGTTTACGAAGGGTATTATTAGAATTTTTTCTCTTCCACATGTTGTTTCGCAAGGACTTAAAATGTCATGCAAAAAATAGGTTACTTTAACAAGGCTGTTAAAATATTTATTAATATTTTTGTTAAGGTTTTAATCGTATTAATCTACCACTGTAAGACTTCCTACTGCTTGTAATCTTGAAATGAAAAATTACTCTAATAGAAAATCGGGCTCTTTTTCCATTAAAAGAATTTTCTGCAATTATGTCTCAGATGATTTATCGCATTTTACTCTGGCCGTATATGTAGCCGGTAAAACTACAGAAATATGAATAAAATTTCAAGTATTGCGGCATTTTTATAACGAACCACAATGATATGTATCTTGACAGTAAAACAGCTTGAATTTATAATTGTAAAAATATGAAATCTATTTGTACAGTAGCGTCCTACAGAAATATTTTTGTGGTCCCCCTTAAAATGAGTCGCCGCTGCTAAAATATGTGTAATAATACGAACCTATCCAATAATGACAAATCTAAAAGAACTAATTATTACATAGTGAACAACTTGCTCGATATTGCGTTCAATTTAAAATTGGAAAACTCACAAGCAATTACTATTATTGGCCTGATAGAGGCAATTAAAGTTCTATAGATTAATAAGGTATATCTATCGCTCATCATATTACTAGAACTTTTTTCAGAGTCTATAGGAAGTCAACTCAATTCATTGGCCTTTTACAGCGCAAAGTTCTTTGTGGCCCATTGTTAGCAGTTTTTATTCTATGTAATTAGTTTAAATAAACGAAAAAAAGTCTCAGTGAGTCAGTTCTTCGAGTCATTTTCGTCTAGTTCGCGTCTTTGTTTCTGCGTGGGCTACTAAATAAATGTTAAGCGATGTTCTCTGCTTTATATTTCAATTATTTTCTGTCACACTTAACATACATTTAACGGTAAAATCAATAACGTTTGTTATAACCTGTACCGAGCCTACAAAAATTTCCATATGAATCGCCCGGCTTATTTATTATTCTCAGCGCTTTTTGACGCACCTTGTACACCAACATTTAAATGCCCAGACTACTCCTATTATTAATTTTTGACTTAATTAACTACTACGAGATATATGAACCGTAATTAACTAGATAAGCACTGATTTACTTTGGTTTCCTGTTGGCTCTTAATATACAGGAAAGCGATAGAAGTGTTCATAAGTTTTTGTTGAAAAGGAAAGTTTATTTATCTATGCATATCTAATCTTCTATAGTGTCATTTTAGATTTAAGAAACTGTAAATCTCCGAAGATTTTCTTCTACATATTAATTGATTAAGGGAACCTTTTCTCACGATGCCGAGGAATAAATTATGCAACTGTTATCATAATCTGTGGTGTTTCTGTAGTCTACAAGGTGTGCTTTGATAATTTTTTCTTTTAATCCCGACGTATCTTAGAGGATCATTTATTCTTTAATTGCACACTTAATCAGTCATGGTTAGTATCATTAGCAGATGACTAAAAATGAATAATACTATAGATCATCAACAGTTTTAACTATCCGCGGTTGATGGTTAGGAAATGTAATTTTCTGTGGTAACACCTAGAATTCCAGCTTAAATAAATCTTTCCTTGCATGTTGACGTTCCAGAGTTTTATAATAAACCAAGATAGCTTATGGTTAGTCTCAGAAGTTTCATTTTCAGTCATTGGAGCCATTATAAATGCTCTTAGACTGTCTGAGTTCCTCCAGTCCTATTATAAAGATAAGAATTGAACAATTAATCTTTCCTGTCTGAATTTCTTGTTGAATAATTGAATATAGTCAAAATGATGAAAATTGTGTTACTAATTGACTAACATATAGTTTTATGTATTGTAAAGTCCTATTCTTCGTTTTAAATGAAAGAGAACAATAAAAATTTGTTTAGTTATCTACTATTGATGCTAACATGGTTAGGGAATGTAATTTCCTGTGGTAACACTAAGGTTCCAACTTAATTTTTATTTTTCCTTGCAAGTTGACTGTCCAGCATCCATAATAAACCAAGAGAGATTTTGTTTAGCATCAGAAGCTCCACAGCTTCATTTTTAGTCATTGAATCCATAACAAATGTTAATATACCGGGTGCGTCTCAAAAGTGGCTCACCCCTATAACTTATTTCTTTTTTCAGTTAAAAAAAACGAGATTTGTTATGTTAGTATATGACATAAATTAAATTGATTGATGTATTCAATTGTGGAAATGACTATAACTTTTGATTTTTAAATGGCACCCTAGGTATCTTTTTACTTTATTCGATAGAAAATAACACTCTGAATAGAATGACATATCATATGTCAACTTTTGACATTTTCGCATATGGTTTATTTCAAATTATAACTTGCGGTTCGTAACGAAAATTTGACTCGAAATACCAAGTGTGTGGTACCAAATTATTCGTAAAAAAATGCTTTTTCCAAATATGCTAATGAGACACCCATTTGAAAAAATTGAGATACGATTAAAAATACGATTTGGGCATATTTTAACCGGCCAGGACAAGACACTGAAAACATTAGACAACCAGATTTATTTTTCCAAGCTTTTCAAGTCTCCTTGATTAAGATAATTAGTGTTTTTAACATTTTAACAACAATTTAAAACGATTACGATTTTTTATTAAACGAGACTGTTAAAAGTTGGTATATGATACATATGTCATTCTATTCAGAATATCGTTTTATGTAGAATAAAGTAAAAAAATACCGGGGGGGATTTAAAAATCAAAAGCGGTAGTCATTTCCGGTGAAACAGGACGTGACCAAAAACAATTGCATATGTCAATCAATCCCAATTTATGTCATATACTAACATACCAAATCTCGTTTTTTTTATCTGAAAAAAATAAAAAAAGTTGTAGGGGTGAGCCACTTTTGAGACGCACCCGGTATAATAAAGACCTTCTGAGGTCTTGCAGTCCTTGTCATAGAGATAAGAATTGAACAGTTGGACAACAAGACATTAAAAATGTGAAAATTGTGTTACTAATTGGCTAACGTATATTTTTATGAATTGTACAGTCCTCTTCTTCCTTTTAAATGAACGAGTACATTATACATTTCTTCAAATAACGAATTTAAGGATTAAAAGTTAAGCTTATATAGTCATTAAAAAGATGGAAATTGTGTCACTAATTGACTAACGGTTATTTTTATGAATTGCAGAGTCAACAAGTGCGATAATTGAACGCAAATATGGCGAATCGAGCACGAAGATCATCTACGGGGCCTTAACAACCCCGGACAACGCGATCGGCGGTTCTGCCATATGCGTCTTCCAGATGTCGGACATCGAGGAAGCATTTCGAGGACCTTTCAAGCACCAAGAGAGCATCAACGCTAATTGGTTGCCCGTCCCGGACAACAAAGTGCCCGAACCCAGGCCAGGGGAGTGCGTAAGGGACAGCAGGATCCTGCCGGACGCCAATGTGAACTTTATTAAGACGCACCCGCTCATGGAGAGAGCGGTTCCCTCTTACCAAGGCAGGCCCATTTTGATAAGAGTCAGCTTGAACTACCGGTTTACGGGTATAGCGGTCGATCCGCAAGTTAGAACAGTCAACGACAAGACGTACGACGTCATTTACATCGGAACAGGTGAGTGTGGAGAGTGCACAGGCTCATTGTATTTCGTTATCGTGGCTTCCTTTTAGATCTCTATACGGACCGTCGCGCGTTCGTGTATACCGGGCATTAGAAAATCCAACGAATGCCCTAAGATGCTCAACTAAGAAACTTTTTGTTTTATATTTATCTGTAGAGCAGGGTGCAAAAAAATCATGATTTAAAAAAAAATCCATTTTTTTATTTTAATCAATTTTTTTTTTATTTTAATGAGGCAACTCTGCCGGATATTGACAATATTAGCATTTCTACGGCGCGTGTCGTTTTTCTACATCGGGACATCGGTCACCGATATATTTTATTCTGTAAACTTTGCCGATACCCCTATTTTCGCAAAAAAATCGGCCGCTTAGATCAAAGGGATTTTTTTTTAAATAGTCATGACTGGCTTAAGTCGAGAATAAAATTAGTACCATCTAATGTTCAAAGTGCAAAGTACTTATTGCAGAAGAAAATGTCGGTAGAAATTTGGAATGAACTAGAAGATAAATTAGAGAAGGCGGTTAGCTTGATCAACGTTCAGCTGTTTCAAAAAGGTATAAAACAACCATGACTAATTTATCTTTTGACATTGATTAGTCCTCGGGAACAAAAATATAACCTGACATCAGAAGAAACTAGTTCTGCAATAGAGTTTGCGAATGAAATGTATTCAAATACCAGATTTCTGGCACTTCAAAATAAATCTCTTTCATTTAGAGGTGTAATGGCAACCACGAATCACACGAAATAACTTCAAAAATCGGTCCAACAAATCAAGTTGATTTAAATCATTGCACCCTGCTGTAGAGTCACCCACTGAAGTTTGGTACACTATTTCTTTTATACCCTGTATATACGATCCTGATGAAAGTTTTTTAATTTAAAATTCAGAAAAACACTTTAAAATCAATATTATTTTAAATTATTTGTTTCAGTGGGCTTATACTAATGAAATCTCCATAAAAGTATATACATTAGTCAAGATCATTATTTCTGTAAGGTGTGTCTTTCTTAACACATAGCAGGTCAACATATATGACGCTTTAAAAAAATTATCCGAACAAATTTTAGGCTGATTATCCAACACCGATTATTCGTGTTAACTATATATCTATTTATTTTCCTAAATACCGTTACTTAACTTATTAATAACAGACGCTCTTATCAATATTCATGATTTTAATTAATAAAAAAGCTGACCTAAAAATTAACCGTATTTGTTCATAATGAGGACTCTGTAATTTGTTGCGTTAATGATTTGTTAAGAGAACTTTTCTAATTTACAATTTGATAGGTATTCATAAGCCTGATTCATATTTTAGCTGAAAACGATGACTTCGAATTTAGTAATTTTAATCTTCGCTGATTTCATGTAATTATCTGGTTGAATTCAAATTGAGCCTGGTTTGACGAAAAAAAAAACTATTAGAATAATCATTATTATAATGCCACGGTAGTGGATGATTGATTTTTAGTGAGTATCCTATTTTAATTTGTCATCAGTCGTTTCTCAGAACATCTAACTAACCAGTTCCTTAGTTCAGGTATTATACTGTTAATGAGGCATAACACTTCTAACCTTGGGGGTTTGATTTCGTTTTAAGTGCTGCGATCAGACAGCAAGCTGTGTGTGTGTGTGTGTGTGTGTCTAATACAACTTTACGTTAAGGCGGTATTAGTGAGCTTTAAGCATCTGATTTATAAGGCATTTAAATAATCCTTAGATTAAAGTTTAAAAAGTATGATGAACTATCCAATAAACTTCTTGATGACACTGTATATCAGTCCTTTCTAAAAATGAAAAAAAAATCGACCGCAGCAAATTCATGAACGTTAGCCTAATGGTTGAATACAGTGGACGATAAAATCTCCCTGCGTTGTACGTTATACAAAAGTCATTCAGGCTATTAAAGCCCAGTTCAGATTTATAAAAGATGCGGGACGGTAGGATTAGAATAAAAACACCTGAAAAAGCTTCGCAAGTTCACAAGTTTTATCTTGATTACCTGAATGGGCTCTTAACAAACCCCATTAGAATAGAATCGCGTATTTTGCATATAAAACTACCGGCCCTTGCGTTATTGCCATTTGTCACATTAAGATTTATGATCGTTTAGTTTAGTTGGTATATAGGAATTAACAAGCTCTCTTTGTTACAGACGATGGAAAAATATTGAAAGTGGTGAACATCGCGTCGGAGCAGTCTTCCAAGGCCTTTGTCATATCAGAAAACGAAATATTCCCTAGGGGTACACCTATAAAACAACTGGCAATTGCTCCAGGGATACGGAAAAGTCATAGCTGTCAGTAAGGCGGAAACCAAATTGGTTACCCTCAACCACTGCAAGTCCACCGCAACCTGCAAGTAAGTTTATTCTTAATTTGGAATAATATAAACTCATATAAAACTTTGTTTCGTTATTTTAGTGAATGCATCGAGCTACGAGATCCTCACTGCGCATGGGATCAACTGAAGAACCTCTGCGTCAGCGTAGACATGGCTACGTCCCTTAGGTATCTCATACAAGACATAAAGAGAGGAGATGCTTCGAGATGCAAGATATCCACCAACGAGAAAGTGCCCAGGAAGGAAATTGATGATGATAACACCATCCCTAGCAACTCCATCGAAGAAGAACCAAACTCCAACGCAAAAGAGTTGACGTTGCAAGTAGAGAATCGTTCAGATTTTGATGAATGCAACAACGACATCAACTCTGATGTTAAAACGGGCTGTTCTCAAATAAAGAAGAGCGAATTCACGTCGGGGACATTGTGGTGGGGCATTGTGATCGCAGCGATGATTGGTCTCTTTGTGGGGTTTGCTGGGGGCTACTGTGTGTCAAGAAAATTTTACATGCAGTATAATAACGCCCCTTTTATAGAACAACACAACCATCTGGATAGGTACATATTTTATCCACCTCTAATGAACGCGTTCTTGAATTAATGTATATATTTTTGTTTGTTTCAGATTAAACGTGAACCAGAATAGTTTTTTAGCCAGGCCGACCAAGACGGTTAATTTAGACGTCTTGAACGTGTCTTCGGACACACTCCAGCCAAAGAAAGATAACTTAGGATCTCTAAAAAATTTAAATATCACGAACGAAGGGACTTTGCAAAAGATCAAGAAGACGTACATATAGATGCGAAGAAAGAGCATTTTTGGCTTGCTTCTGTAATCCTTTTTAGATATATTTTTGTACCTGCTGTTTTATTTTGAGCGATGTAGACTGCCTGCGAAGCTATTACGTGTTTTATAGTATACAATAAAATATTTTAGTATTTTTCTACAGTAATTAAAATGATTTTATGATGAAGTAATGGATTGTTGATTAACTTGGCATCGGCTTTGTAGAAATTTTTCCTGATGGATTTTATTTGATGTCAGTTATTGTAAAGCTCAATGTTTTATAGATATGTTTTAATTTTTAGGTGTAAATTTTCAACTTCTAAGTTGTTAAAGTAAATAAGCGCTCACTTTTTAAGGCACAAAAGCATTATCTCACACATATAGTATTTTTTAAATACTGGTTTTAGGATTAGTGTAAATGTGCTTAATTCAAGATATACAAAGATTTGCTAAGTAGGAATCTTATTATTAATGGTGCATATTGTACCTTAAAATATTTTGAAATTTAGCTCAAAAATTATGGATGACACTGGCAAATAATTCTTAAATTAAGTGAAACTGTTAATCTAAAGAAAGAAAAAAATAGAGTATTAACTATTAGATGATATTATTTTGTGTACAATAATTTAATTTTAATAAATGTCCACTGTTTAAACCTGTATAATCAGTCCAAATAACTGAGTAGGTTTAACATTCTTAGAGAATAGTTTAAGATCTAATGTTTTATTTAATATCTAAGTTAAGGAGTATTCGGCAATACGACAAAGTAACAATTCATCTGAAGCGTAGTTCTTAAGCAATTATTGTAAATAGATCGATTTTACTTTAAGTTAGTTTCAGGTACAGTTTTGGCTGTGATCTACAAAAAAAATGCCTTCAAATATTTTTTTATCGATAATAAGTGAAAAAATAATAGAATGACTTTTTTAGGAGGATTTTTAGGATTAGTGCCCGTTCGAATTTGTTTTATTATTTTTTCTTTGTACAATTAAGCGTTTTAGTTTAATCTAGGAACATAAGTAAATACATTCCAATCGCTATTTTACATTTAAGTAAATAAAAACGAAAACAATACAAATGTTGCTTTATTCAAATTAAAACCCAATATAAACCCCAAAAATTCTACTTCCTGATAGAGAGCAAGTCAAGTTTCAATAAACCAAATAAAATCCCTATGAAATGCCCCTCAAAAATTGCTTCGTTATAAAAACCACGCCAGAAGAATGAGCGTCAACATTCTCTGTAATTCTAATCACGTTGGCCGCCATCTTCAAACCTACTATGTTATAGGGGCGAAGCAATACGTATTTTCCTTTGAAGGTATAGTCACAATAACAGATGCGAAAGAAAGCGACTGCATCGGAAACCGTTCGGCAAACCCGACACCACTCAATAGTGGTGTAAATACACCAGTCGTTTAGTCCGGAAACCCATGCTGTGTCGTATTCGCTTACTGGAGTGACATAGTGCGTGGTTATATGTTTCTTTTTAAAAACGCGTGTAGGATTTTTGTTGAACTTTTGAACTGTTATTTCAACTGTTATTGAACTGTTAAGTTTTGGTAATTTGTATATCTTATTTAAAATGGGATACAAATGTGTTTATTTATAAGGAAAAATAAGATATTTATAGTATAAAAAATTAATTTATTTAACAAAATTTAATTAACAATGTGACAAAATAGTTACCTTTCTATTGGTTCTATCGGACTTTTTTCGACTATATAAATCTTTATTTGTAAACTTTAATACATCAAATATTTTCAATCTAATAAATCATTTAATGATGTAAATAAGAGGAAATTTCTCACATGGGTGGTCAAATTCTATAGTTTTCATTATATCAAACAGCCTCTGAGAAATGTTTTCAACTCAAAATGCCTTTAATTATGTTTGACTACATCATTAAAAAGGGTCTTCAAATACATCAATGTGATATTTGTCTAAAATTTGCAAAAGAATCCGAATCTCTGGATAACTCGAAATTATTTACCCATTTAAAAGCCTTTGCTCATGAAAGTGGAAAAATTTGTTCATTTTATTTAAAGGCTGGAAAAATTATTTGTATTAAATTTTGATGAGTTTTGCACTGAAGAAAACATTCAGAGGCTGTTTGATATAATGAAAACTATAGAATTTGACCAACCATGTGAGAAATTTCCTCTTATTTACATCATTAAATTATTTATTAGATTGAAAATATTTTATGCATTAAAGTTTACAAATAAAGATTTATATAGTCGAAAAAAGTCCGATAGAACCAATAGAAAAGTAACTATTTTGTCACATCTTTAATTAAATGTTGTTAAATAAATTAATTTTTTTGTACTATAAATATCTTTTTTTTCCTAATCTCCTACGAACTGATATAATATGACGAGTAATCTATTAAATTACTGTGAGATTATATGCCTCGATAACATATTGGTGCAGATTATTTTCACCCAAACAAATAATAACCCAAACTATACATTGATGCGGATTGTCTATGAACTCTTTCTGAAGGTCACAGAAACCTGAACGCGGAATTCAGTGTTCTTTCGCATCTGTTATAGTTAATTTGTGGTATAGTATAGTAATATCATTAGAATGCAATTTTGGTCCACAGCCAGTACTGGGAATGCCCCACTCCTAGTGCAGTACCCTGGATCAGGGAAAATCAGACCTTCCACTGGAGAAACAGACAATAGGACAGGTATAACAAAGCCTTCATTTAAGGTTCTAATTCGAAAACCACTAAAAACTGTTAATGATCAGCAGAAATAAAGTATGTCGCTTGTATGAATTAAGTCTCTGCTGCGATAAATATGACTCCGCGATAAATATCCTAAAACACCCGAGCACACGATTTGTCACTGCCAAGCTCTGGATTGCAAGTGGCATCCTCGGCATCCCCTATTTAGGAAAGTAACGCTAGAACTAGAGGAACTATGCTCCCATTCTATCAAGGACCTGCACCAACTAGTGCAGGATACAGGGATAGAAGACTGGGTGCAGGCATAGAAATGCGACAAAGACAAATACAGTACAGGTCGCAGTGTTTTCGGTATAGGACGGTTAGGAACCACAGCTTTCAGACTTGTTGATGGCGTGCCTGAATAAAAAAAAATCTTAAATAAATACCATACGATCGGAAAAAACGGCGCCAAAGACGCTTCTTTATTTTTTAATGGCTTTAGAAGGATATAATTTATTTTTATTTAAGTAAAAATGATTTTTAAATGGTATAGTTTAAAATTGGAGAAAAAATTATTTTTTGGAAATATCTTTGCATCTGGAAACGTTCTATCCTTTTTAATCTTTCTATAATTAGGCTAAATTTTGACAAATATTATGTCAGTTTTTAATAAACGACGTCTAGAGATTGACCTCTCCAAAATTAATATCGATTGTCATTCCGAGCCGTCCAGGACGCCGTTTTTTTCGATTATATACGTTACTTTTTCTACGACTCCACGTAAAAGATATAAGTTATGGCACATTCAGAGAAATAAGTAAACCTAGAAGTTATATAAAGTATAGAGATATAGAATAAAGATCTTTTAGTTCACAAAAGTATAAGAATCTCTACAATAAAATATATCTGGCAGATATAATATATACATAGATGTAAAAATTAATGCATTGGAGAAGCTTTTTGTCCGTTTTTGCCGAAAATATATCATCCAGAACTTGCAAAGTCACTGTTTTAACTTTCCTTCCTTATTCTCCTTTATTTTAAAAATAAAATTAAGACTCGGACGCTTCACAAACTAATCGAACAGCCCTCGTACCTGGTACTACCATACAACAGGTAAATGTTCTCATTTTTCTACGCATGTGCTTAGCGATTGTCTCTTACCTGAGTACCTACCTGTCAGGCAAAGTAATCAGCAAAAGCTATCGGTACTGTGTGTGTTCGTATTAAAAATTATTCGTTCTATACCTTTAAAAACTCAGAAATTCGACAATCGAGGGTATTGCGATGGAATATTAATCTACGCATCAGGTGAGCAAAAATTCGAAGCAAATACGTATACTGGGTGATATTTATTTACTGTTAGCTGCGCTGGGTACCGCGGCGAAGATTGTTTCGCCACGAAGGCTTTGATTTAAATAATTAAGTGTCGAGTATTATATTTTTATTCGATTATTTCGTTTAAAACGCGACTAAAAATACAAGAACTATCGTTTATTCCTCGTTATTGGTGATTTGAGTAGTGTCCTTACACGCCTACGTGTTTACAGGTGTATTTCTTCAGATTCTTCTATGCTTACAGCATAAAATATGCAGCAAAACCTTAAATGTATGAGATACCTCTATTGACGCTAAATTCTTACCTCATTCCTCGCATTCCTTTCTTATATGGTGGAAGGTGTGGCGCTTTTGGTACCTTATAGTTTGATTTTAATATTCTTTTAATCGAATTTGTAGTACTATTCGATAATAACAGTTCCTTTCAATTTTGGAATATATTAAAACGCGATTATATTTAAATTATAGTTGGGCAGTGCGGCTGGTATTTATTAATGGGGAATTAGAAAAAGTATTTGAATTTTTATTTGACAGTAAGGCTGTAAAATCACGATCGGTAATTTTTATTTATAACTTGTTCTAATAACAGTATCAAGACGATAAATATATTAAACGTCTGATTACATTTAACCATAATCTTATCTATCACATTGTTTTAAGTATGATCATTTTTATATCGATTATAATTCTCTCATATCGTCATATATATCTTACAATTGATAATCATCGCATATTACTAACGAAAATTAAATTTCTCTATTTTCCTGCAATTTCCAGAAATAAATATACTTTCAACGCTCAGCCATGGCTTACAGAAATGGATATTCACGAGATGACAGAAATCTGGATAGGGACAGGGATCCAAGGAATGATGTGAAGCCTCCAGTTCATATTATTGAACATTTGGCAACATTTAGCGTGTCTCGCAATACTGGAATCCTTTATCCAATTGATGGAATGCGTAAACTGCGCCAAATGGAACAAACCAATGGTATATGGTCGCAGAAAATGCAGATTTGCTTAGATCACCCTTGGGTTTTAATCTTAGATGAATCTGGGGTAAGTAATAATTTTTTAATATTAAAAATATACAAACATTCCGTTACAAAATATCTGAAAGATAAATTTCGGAAAATAATACAAAAGCGATAAACTACAATAAACACTTTGCTATAACATTATTTATTATTAATATTTTTATCGCTAGGTTAGATAAATTTTGGAAAAAATCATATGGGCAATAAATTTAGAAAGCTGTAATATCTAAAAATTAAGTAAATGTCTATTTTAATTCAAATCTTATCTCTCAAGTAACAAGGATATTAAAAACAGATTAAATGCTTTTTTTCAATACATACTCTTAACTTTTAAACCCTACTATAATCTAATGATGCATAAATTATTAAGGCATTATACTCGCTCTATACCAAATATAAACTTTTTATTTTATTTTTTAAAAATTTTATTAAGGTTGAAAATACTAAATAAACATAGGTGATAATTTTGGCATGATTTATGAAATAAATTAAACAATGATTCATGTTCTTAATGTTTTTCACATGCAAATATCTTCCTACAACGCATATTTTATCCAAAAATAAATTGTACTTTACAATATTTAATCCCATCTCATCCTTGTTGCATTTTTACGACGCTCGAGACATTGTACTAATAAAAAAATAAGAATTTTATGATTCTGTTGATTTACAGAGCCTGGTTGAAAGATTTCCAGTTGATAGCATTGAAGATCCTACGGCCTTTATGAGCCAGGATCCCATGGACATGTACAATAATATCTTGGTGTTCATTATTGCTGATTCAAGTCAATCTTCACCCGCCGAAATGCAAATGCATATATTTCAGGTAAGTTAATTAATACGTTACTATATCGTAACGATTTATTTTTAAGCGTTGACATTGATTATATCAAAATCAATTCTTTAAAAGTACTTGAGGTAAAAGATAATTGAATTTTTATTACTAAACCTCTGAGAAATAAATAAATACCAATAAGTAAATATTTATTTAATTCACAATAATAGGAAACACTTTAAAGTTACCTAAATATTTTTTTATACTGTTAATTCAAACAATCAATGATAATGACAGGATAATCCCTATAATCCTTCCATTTAGAGCTAAAACTTAGAATAAAAATAACTATGATAGTAGCAGATAATCTGAAATATAAAGTTTGGATCAGTATATCGAAATTTATCTTTATTGTAGTGCCAAAGTATTTCTGCTCAAGATTTGGTTGAAGATTTGAAACAGCTAAGAATGGGAAAAGCGTTCACTAGAAGTCGAAAAAGTAGTATACCACCCCCCGCCCACAAACCACCACAGCATATTGTCAGCCCTTCACGTGACCACAGCAGAGATTACCTGATGCATCAAAGATCTGATTCGGAACTGACGGAAAACAACGATGACTCTAGTTCAACAACCAGCGAAAAATATGAAAGAGACGTAACAATATTGAATCACTGTTTTGATGATATCGAGAAATTCATCGCTAGGCTTCAGCATGCTGCTGCGGCTAAAAGAGAGCTTGACAGAAAGAAAAAAACGAGGAAAACCAAAAAGCGAGACATGGGTGATGGTATGTTGACCATGAGAGCTAAACCACCACCAGAAAAAGAGTTTATTGATATATTTCAAAAGTTTAAATTATCGTTCAATCTTCTAGCCAAATTAAAAGCCCACATTCATGACCCGAATGCTCCAGAATTAGTACATTTTCTTTTCACACCTCTGGCACTAATTGTGGAAGCCTCGCATGACTTCTACTTCGAACAGCACATCCCCCAAAACGTAACCGCACCCTTACTGACCCACGAAGCCATTAATCTGCTTATGAATTGCGTCACGAGCAAGGAAACAGAACTATGGCATTCTCTGGGAAACGCCTGGATTATGCCTAGAGATCAGTACAGTGGACACGTGCCATCCTATCATCCGGTGTTCATGGATGGATGGTCTCCAGAGTATCCAGTAGACGATCCTGACCTTAATGATAAACCCTATCCGTTGGATGTTAAAGATGATGACTCCGACAATCACTTTATGCCGCCTGTTGGAGAAAGCACGGCTAAAAGTGACATTTCTCTCGACTCGATTGAATTGAAAGGAGAAGAAAAAGGATTTGGTTATGGACAAGAGAGATTTTTAGAAGACCTGCAAAATCGAGGAGCTCATATCGTGCAAGTTACTTATCCAAGAACCGCTAACAACGATAAAGAACTAACTGTTGTTAGAGGAGAATTTCTAGAGGTATTATTTCAGTACACTTTAAAATTATATTTTGTGTTTTAATTGGTTGCTCTGTTAGATATTAGATAGTAGCCGAAAATGGTGGAAAGCAAGGAACAGCAAAGGACAGATAGCTCATGTACCAAATACTATTGTTACTCAATATCATTCCAGCAATGTAAGCCCGCTTCATAGAAATCCACATATAGAGGTAAAAATAATTGATAATAAACAAATATGGAGTAAATTTAAAGTAAACTTTTCTAGGACTCTCCACCGGTACGTTATCCTGGTCAAAGTTCAAGCAATGATCACAGAGTTCAGCCGAAACCGGCAGAATTCATCATGAACGACAGAATAGGTAAGAAAGGTGAATTCCGATATTTCTAAGTATCCACGTTGTATCGTCTTGGTTTGTTAAATCCTTCATTTTTTTGTACGTCATGTCTGCATTGTTGTGTATAGTCCAGTAAGGCATTTATTTTTAAAGACTTTAAATTTTAAACGTGTTTATTCGTTACGAATAAGCTTAATAATAAATTCAATTACATCACAATAATTACTGTTTTCTGTTTATTTCAAAATCGAAAGCTGATTCGTTTACAAGTAATATTTATTAAAGATATATTTTGTGTATATATCGCATATAAGATGTAATGTATCGTTTATTTTTACTAACTGGAATGTATTTCGATTTAATAAATATTTTCATACAAATCTATGTTTGTTTTGTCTTTGTCCTGGCTTATATGGTGTGGTGTGCATACAAGGTGGAAACTATTCATGTATTCAATTATTCAGAGAGCTTTAAATAGATTTATTATTTCTGCGGTTATAAGAAATAATCTGTTAAGTACTGACAATTATATTATTCCCTATAACCATAGAAGTTTGGGTGTCTCAAGTAAAAATAATAAAGATGTTATTTTATAGATACATCTTTCCCAATTTACTTGGAAAGGTGTAATGAGACAATGTATATCTAAATGACAGAAATTTAAATCTCTTGCTTTTCCATCTCCTTATATAAGGTTGGTGATTTTTTTTTTAATTTTACACCTTAATTTCCGTTTTATAGTAGAGCGCAAACAAGCACAACCTGTTTCGGTACCTGTTCCTCCACCTCCTCCTCCTCAAGTACCCGCGCCACCCCCTCCTCCCCCTCCAGTAGGTGACATGTCACAACCAGCAACCCTCAAGAGAACGGTGTCACGTCGTTCGATAGCCTCAAACATCTCTATGAGCGATGCCATGCAAGAAGAGCTGAACAGCGTGTTGACTATCGTAAGGGAGAAACAAAAACCCTCGCCCCTGAACATCAAAACCACCCCAGAAACTTACATCGATTCAAAATCAACCCCTAAGGAAGTGCAAGAATGGATCAGGTCCAAAGGTTTCAGTGAGAACATAGTTAAAAGGTTCCAAGGGGTAGACGGTTACAGGCTGTTTGAAATGACCAAACCTATGTTCGAAAAAGTTTGTAATCCTCTACTGGGAGCTAGGTTGCACTCTTACGTGCTCGTACAGAAGTCTGTTAGCAAAGTAAGCCACCCTTTATGAATATAAAGCTTTAAAATACTAAAACATAATCTCTTTTAGTTCCAAACCTTTAGAACAACAGAGCTACAACAAATTCTTGCCAAAGCGAGGCAAAAGGTTGACCAACAAGAACCAACGACGGAGTTATGATATAGATAATATAAATGCTTTTAAAATGATATTTTAATGTGTTACTAGTTTTAAATATTGTTAGTATTCAAATGTATTTAGTCTGCAAATATTAATATTGGTTTATGTCATCAAAAATATGTAACATATTGTACGTAAGAGATTAAATTGTTAGCTTTAATAAATTATTTAAATCTAAGCCTTTTATTTTTGCTAAAGTTGCTGTCTTTTACTTCTAATTTCAATTTTTTCCAAATTAAATTCGTGTTTTACTGGTTGCATAAACGAAAATATCATAACTTATCCAAAACATCATAAACAATAGAATATCTGAGGTTCAGAGTAATAAAAACTAAAATTGTAAGGCGGAAACATTTTTATTAAAATAAAATTAAATACAATTACTTCTTAGATTAATAAATAAATTGGACTTATATTAAATATATTACTGACTGTAATAAAGCATGTCTTCGAAGTGCAATATAAGCCATTAAATGTGATTATTAAAAAATTCTATGAAAAATTGTTTTCTACTGGTATGTAACTTCTAGCTAAAGAAATGGGAACAAATTAATTTGTATTATAATAGGTGTAGTTATCTGGGAAAAAGGTAAGTTCTTAATTAATATACCTTTCTTATTAATATATAAGAACCTGTCTTTTACCTATTCTATACTCCTCGCTATATCTATTAGTAGGATTATATTTAATTATATATTAATTCTAAATACATAATAAGAAAATATTTTCGAAATGCATAGGACACAGACCATTAGAAAAATTAGGACAAAATTGATACCTATTTAGAAAAAAAGATAAAATTATCTTGTAAATATAAAAAAATAAAATGGGCGATCAGACAATTATACAAAAATAATTAATATTTATATAAAAAATAAAGCTTTTCTATTTAGACGCGAGTATTTGTATAACGGCAAGTTTCTGAATACTGGGTGTTGAAATAGAAATACTTTCGAATATGCAAAATTGCTTAAATGATTATCATGTTGCAAAATTCCATCTAGTTCCTTAAAATTCGTTGATAAAACACCTTACGCTCATAAAAATTGTACCTACTCTTATACTTAGACATTTAATTTACTCTTATAAACCAAAAAATTAAACTAATAATTTCTTTGGTATTTTAAATGATATTTAAAATTCATTGCTTTTTTAAATCTCACCATATTTTTAATTATACTAAACATATAAAATAACACCCAGTACGACTATACGATAAATTATTTTTTAAAACAACTTATCTAAAGTAAATATTTACATATACCAAACATTTAATTAAAAAACAATATAAAGAAGAAATAGTGACTTTAAAAGCCGAACTCATTTTCTTAATTCCATCACATTCGATTGCACGCATTATTTCTTAAAAGTAAAAAAGAGGACTGATTCAAATAATCCCCACACAAAGACAAAAATAAATAAAGTCTTTATGTTTAATGAACTGTCGCTGGTTTTCTTGTTCACATCTATCATGTGACTCACGTTTTTTTGTACTTGATTCACTTTCTCATCTAAGTCCTGTAAGCGTCTGTCCAGACTGTCTAGTTTTAATTTTATACTAAAAAAAATATTGATTATTTTGTTACATTGATTCAAACATTTTTTTAAAATTGTTATAATAATACTTACTTGGATTTAGATGGAACGGCGTTTAAGGATTTTTTTGCGTCATGAGATGAATCTGAATGAAATTCATCTGAAGAAGTATCGTTGACGTCGACATCAGAAGAAATTTGCTTAGTAGCAATTTTTCTCTTTGTAACTTTCGCCGATGATCGAGATTCTCCAACCTGAACCAAACAAGGTGTCAATTTCAAAGTAACATAAACAATAAATACGCAAACAACCACCTGTTCAGTGGCGCAACTAGACACCAATTTTTCTCTGCCCTTCCATTTATCTGGTAGTATTCATTTGAGGGTAAAACCAATTTTAAACGACCCGCGCCAATGAGCTGGAGCGGAGGATTGCTATTTTCAGGCTATGGGGCAACCTCCCACTAACCCCCTCTAGTTGCGCCACTGACCTTCATCAAAGAAAAAAAAACAGCAATTTCCACATTAACATTCAAACATAATATTTCCAACAAAAACACCAAAAAAAATTGAAAAGGCACCCCTTTTTTAAAATAATAAAAAATATGTCCTAACACCATATAAAATGACCCAATAACCTCTTGTATAAGAACCAGATGTCCTATCAACCAATGCACACAACACCCACAAAAATAATAATTATAGTTAGTATAACATTTCCACAAAAAAAGGCAGAAAATACAAAAAATTCTGAAAAGGTACCCTTTTCCAAAATAATAAAAAATTCACACCACAAAAATAAAAAGGGTTAAGACAATAAAATAAATAAACCATTTTTACAATATGATCAAATAAAAATGGCGTCAGCGATAGCTATGATATAACGATCGCTTTTATATATACTCATTTCCAAGCCAGCTGGAAGCCGTTTTTTTTTCGATCTGAAAAAAGGTACCCTTTCCTGGGATAATAAAAAATATATTAATACAAGAAAAATAAAAAGGGTTAGGACAAAAATAAATAAATAATAAAGAACCCATTTGTACAGTAACCAGACGTATGTCCCCTAACTCCCAAACTACTCCCAAAAATATTAATTATATCCGGCAAAAAAACATGTTAATAACATTTTCACACAAAAATATTTACAGGAACTCTTTTTTTTCTAAGTAATAAAAAATACAAAACAAAAAATTAAACAAAGATTAAAAATTTAAATTGAATAAAAATTGACTGACCTGTTGTGGATCGACGCTGATGATACTGGCCGTTTTAATCATTGGAGTAGGATGTTTTGTCCTTGTCAGTATTTTATATTCGTATTCGTATTGGTACAGATCATTTCTTGGATCCCAAGGCCTCAAATCAGAATGCTTATAAACCCACTGGCCTGACTTAAAATCCTGCTGGAAGTGCACAGGAAACCAGTCTTCGCATTTTGCTTTACGTTCCTTTGATCTAGCTGAAACAATTTAGAAATAATATTATTAAACAAATATTTTTTAAATCATATAAACCATTACCTCTTTGAGCTTCTTCCAGGATGGTTTTTTCCTCAGTAGCTGCGTTCATATCATCTCTTCTAATGGCGGCTGAAACGTGTTGCCATAATTTTTCTGACTCATTTTCGCCCTGATTGTCTAAGGGTACAGTATACCTTGTCAGTCTCTGTTTTCTTACAGTTGCTGTGGACGCGAACAATGTCTGTATCTCCCCGGTCCTTTTGTCTTTAAGATTAATTGTTCCATCCCAATAGCCTTCTATAGAAGCCAATGTCTCTTTGCCTAGTTTTAAACGGCCTACAATGCAATTTGTTTGCTCTGACCCACCCAAAAATGGCTGTAAAAATAAATTTTATGATTAAAAAAAACACATGAATATAAATATTTTACCTTTAATTTAAATTCGATTTCAGTGTAGTACCCTGTTTTCTCACAGTCAATTGAAACTTTTCCACCCAACTCCATTGTGAGTGTGCCCATTAAAATGCCTTTACAATGAGCATAAGGGACTGTAAGCTTGTAATCTTCGCCTCTGGGAAGTAATGTTAAAACCGCAGTCCCATCTAAGATTGCAGAAGTAGAGTTACCATAGAATTTTGATCTAGCTAAAATGCTAGCGCTGATTGCAAAACCATCTTGGCGATTAGTCACATAAAAAGCTGAAACCTACAACATAAATAGTAAATATTCAAAATAATTTGATATATAATATAATGGTTACACACAGGAGGATGATGTGACACTTGCTCTGCAAGATAGAACGTTTTGGAACCATTGGGATGCTGCCAGCAACATCTGAAAGTTTCTCCAAGAATAGGATTGTATGGTTTCTTCAACCCCTTTGGCTTCTTATAAAGTCCTGACAAATACCATTTTACCACTTGTTTCATTCGAGTAAAGGCATCATCTTCAAGAACAGCTCTGTAATTTAAAGTACATAAAAAACGCATTTTAAAGTTTTATAATAAATATTGCTTACTGAGACAAAATATCTACATGATAATAAGAATCAGAGAGCTTGTCAAGAAAGGATCTAGGTTCAAGAATAAAAGTTGGCAAGACAACCTTGCTCAAATCCATACCGGGGCGAACCTGCTTTACAAGAAACCAAATAAGCGATTTGTGTTCTTCAGCTAATTCTTCCACCTTAAAATTCAATTTTAAATTTGAAACTTTTTTATTCAGACATAAATATCATACCTGAGCTCCAACATCACCAAACTCTTCTTCTGCATTGGGAACATAAGGAGTTTCAAGGGGTTCTTGTTCAAAATTTTCTTCCTTTTGTGATGCTTCAGAATCTGTGTCTGATAAGTCTGCTTCTCCAGTACTCAACTGAGCACCATTATCCGCTTGACTAATATTGTCCAAATCTAGAATAAATAAATTATATTAGCATACAAAATTGCAGTATTAATATCATTTATATACCATGCACAAAATGTTTTTCATAATCAGTGTCTGACCACTGAGTTTCATGAGTTGTACTACCTGAAGATTTGTTACTGACTGATCTCAATAAAGCACCATCATTTCTTATTGAAATTTCTAATGCATCAAGCCAACACATACCAGAAGCTTGACTAGGAGCTCTAAATATTAAATAGGAACCTGGAAGGGGCTGTACAACCGCTCCTAAAATAATATTTTACGTAAAAGTCCCCCCAAATATTTGAGAACACGAAAATATTACCAATTGCTTCATTTTCTGGTCCTCTTGGAGCCCAAATTGTTTGGTCTAGTGGATTATACAATTTAAAACAAAACCCGTCCTTTTTACTAGGCCTTTCAATAACCTTGCATGCATTTAAAAGTACAGTCCCTACCCAATGACTACTCTACAAAATAACAAACCAATGTAGATAAATAGGTACCAACATATACTATTAGCATAACAATTTCCCAAGAACAAGTAAACTTACTTTAGCTTTTGGACTCTTGTACAAAACCAATAAACCAGGCTTCAAAACACACCATAGTTTGGTCCATGATTTTAGAGTACCTCTAATTTTTAACCAGTCAGCTAATACAACTACTGAAGGATCTTTTAACGAATTTAATAATTCATTTGTAACTCGCTTCTTCTCTTTACGGTAATTTTTCCTCTGTGCCTTATATGATTCCTTTCTCATAAGCTTTGTGCTTGATTCAGGAGTGTGAAGCTACAATGTTTTCAATTAAATTAAGTAACAAATAACTCATAACAATACTTACTCCTTCAATCGTAGATGCAGCTTCTAACCTATCTATATTTGAAATACCTTAAATAAAAATATAAAGAAAATAATAGGATAATAACAATAATTGGGGAACTTACCGGGACTGCCGGGTCCGGGACTATTACTTAAGGAATCTGTTGAAGGTAATTTGGGCAAAATATTAAGTAAGATTCTCGATTTTCTGTCTTCACTTTTAGGATGGGCTGGCGTACTTTTATTTGAATGAACTCCAGAGTTTGGATTGTCTTGATTATTAATGGCATTTTGTGATCCTGTATTTGTTGACATTCTGTTGCCAAAAACAGCTGTAGTAAAAAGAAATCATTACTACAATTCCGACATCAAATTAGTTTACACTATTTATTTACCTTGGATATTCCACTAAAAAACAGTCAAAAAGGAGCGATATATACTGGACATTATAACTCTTCTAAAACGAATTTTTATATGCATCGTTTAACAAAAATAATGACAACAAAAGTGAAAAAAAATGTAACCAAAACGTCGTTACACGATGACATGCGCCCTGCGCAAACAGTGGAAATCGCCAAGGAATTCCTAGCGCACATGTCCGCAAAATTACGCAAGGAGTCTTCCCTAAAGCGGCCTTCACACTTGACGCAGCTAATTTATTGATTTCGCAACAGCACTTCATTATTTATTCCATAATCATTAATAATAGCACAGAATATTACAGATACTACTTATCCCCCTACAGTCAATATAGATTATTTTTTAATATACTATATATTATATTATTCTTAACTTATAAGTAACCGCCTATTAAATAATTTATCACGATAGACTGCATTACCATAAATTGTATAAAGTAAATATTGTGGCAAAAAACAATTATTGTATACCAATAAAAATAGATAAATAGCGCAAGGAGGATATTTTGCAAATTCTTGAGAAAATGGTAGATGCGCCAATCAAAAGCAAGGTCACTATAATCTTAATTTTATTTAAAAAAGGAGTTATGTATTATCGATTGACTTGAACTTGGTTTAGCGAACCTTTTATTTGTATCGATATATTATATAATCTCAAATTTTATGGAATTTAAACGCTTTAATTTACTGTCAAATTATATTTTTTTAAACAAAAATAAAACAAACAACTTTATCAAAACATATCTTTTATCTATATGTACAGATAAGAGGTAATTTTTACATAACTATAGGGATATACCAATATAGGTATAAGCCTGTATCATAAAATTTCAGAAATTTGAAACAAGGAGGGAAATACACAGAAGAAATGCAATACCGTGTTGGAAAGTGGTGGAGAAACTATACAAATATAAACCTTAATCATAAATAATAACCTAGATGCACATCTCCACTACTTCCCAATTAATTATAGAATTGGGACTTAAATTTTATGATACAAAGTTTACAAGTGTGTGTTTAGGTACATTTTAAAATGTACAATTTTATTCTTTTTTTCTGTTTATTCTTAAGTATTCTACTGCTGACGACTTCTATAATAGTCCCCTCGGTCCGGAGGCCGCCAGTCTCCGGGCAGGAATCTACCTTCTTGTGGATACATTGGAGGAGCTCCAGGGAAGTTCCCCCCATAATACAGCGGTCGGGGATGCGTATTAGGCGGCATCATCCTGTCCCTTCCATACCGCCAATCACCTTTGCCCTCTGGGGACCTTAAAAACAGAAAAATATATATTTAGTAACAGTTTTGTAGTCCATATAGTAAAGCTTACCTCTTATCAGGTCTTGGTGGATAGTCTCTTTCTCTATGAAAGGGGGGCACATTTCTCGAATAATCGTTGTACATCCTCTTGTGATCGCCTGTGAAACGATCTCTTGGTATGGCGGGGCCACTGTTGGACCATCTATCATGATCCCCATGGGGTGCTCCATGCCTGAAGGCTGGCGCGTTATTTTTTCTATGTCGATTATATCTGTGATCGTCTTCTTCATTGTTCAATTCTTCGCGCAGCCGTTTTCTTTCCTTTTCTAGGTGTTTGTCTCGCCTGTCTTTTCTAAAGTTTATAAAAAAAAATGTTTAACAGCTAGAAAAAAAGTCATTTGATTTTATTTACTTTTCAGTTCCGTCGCGATGATGTTTCTTTGTCTCTTTTTCTTCTGGTTCATCCGTATCGTGTTTTCTTTTGTGGTGGTGGTGATGATGTTCTTTCTCACTGTCGTTTCTCGACTTTTCTTTACTAGTTGAGGCGTTATCCTATATACAAAAAAAAAATAAATAAAGAAAATTATGTGCCATATAACGGGACTTACATGTTCTTTATCAGGCTTATCTGCTTTCTCAGATTTATCTTTCTTCTCGCTTTTCTTCATTTCCTTGGCTTTGGCCTTTTTATATAACTGATACAACTTTTTAGCGTCATATTCCGTAAATTTGGACACAAAATACCAAAGATTACTGAAATAAAGTTATTCACAGTATTAGGTTAATTACTACAGTAAGCTTGAGAGTATTCAATTACTACATAAGCTTGAGATCATACATCACCATCTTACCTTCTCCATTCTTTTATTTTTTCTGGATCTGAATACTGATTCAAACAGCTGCTAATTTGTTCTCCAATTTGTATAAGACATTCCCTGGTATGTTGAACTTGTTCAGCCTCTGACATTGTTTGGTCTGGGTTATCTAGAGCCTTAAGTGCCTTCTTAACAGGCCTCATTTTTTCCTTGCACTCGTTGAAGATGGCCGGGTCTAAGTCACCTAAAACGTTTATAGCTTTTGGTTCATTGTTAGCGGTAAAATGCATTGGCCCTGCACTCTTTTTGTCTTTCTTCTTGTCCTTCTTCTTTTCTTTCTTAACTACCTCTTCAGAATCTTTATCGGTTTCTTTCTTAGGCGGACTTATCTTGGATTTCTTGTTCCCGTTGTTACTTACACCCTGGCTGCTTTGTGTTGTTGATTCGTCGTTTGAGCTGAAGTCATTTTCAATAATTTCTTTGGTTAGTATTTTCGACTCTTTAACTTCTTTGACTTTCCTTTGTCTCTTTGGTTTGGCTGCTCCTCCTTTTTTATTAGGATCCAACTGTTTTTTCAGTATTTTAAGAAGGTATTCTGCTCGGGATTGTAGGTGCTTAGCTTGAGGCTTTTTGTCTTCGTTCATAAGAATTTTGTCGCCTATTTTCAAGGAAGGGTCTAGCTTGATTTGTTCCCACGAGCCGATACCATATAAATAAATGCCTCTGAGAAGCTTGGTGTCTTCTTCTGTGCCCCATTCCACATCAAAATGCGCTGGTTTGGTTTTAGCGTCAAATATCCACCTGTTCCTTTCTTCTTCGTTAGATGGTAGGATTTCGTCAAGGGGAGCTAGTTCCTCTTCGCACTGCATCATCGTTTTTGCATTGACTGACACTCCTCCGAGTTTAAAGGAGGGGCCTCTATTTCTCTTCCTACCTCCTTCGCTATTATTGCTTTCGTTATTTTCCTTAGTTTGTTCGTTCATAAATGCCACGCATCTTTCGTGCAACATTTCTCCAAGTTTTCGTAACTCTTGTAAAGGTTTTTCTTGTAGTTCTGCATCGCACGCGACAGCTTCAAGTCGTCGAAGGGGAGCGCTAAATTTCTTGTAGCTCTTTACAAAACGACGGATTTCAGCGTCAGTGAAATTCCTGATTTTCTCTCTGTTTCCTGCTGGAGGCCGACCTCGCTTCTTGGGTCGATCCTCGTCAGATTCTTCACCTTCCAGACTAGAACCTCCCGATTCATCCTGCTCTTTCCCCTTCCGTGATTTTCTACCTTTACCTCCTTCACCTTCGCTTTCAGACTGGTTAATTTGTTGTAAAGTCTTCCTGCTGCGTGGAGGTAAATACAAATCCTCCATCTCCTTAGATTTCTCTTCTTCTTCGACTTTCTTTCTCAGTCTTTCCGGAATGATTTCGTCCCAGTCTTTACTTTCTTCATCATTTTCGTTAGCGTTATGCGCCGGAGATGGTTCGGCATCCTCGTCAAATGCCGCAAAACTTGCGACTTTAAAAGCTGATAATAGTTCATCCCCTGCCATTGTAGGAGCTTCATCTCTTGTTTCAGCTCGACGTAAAATTTCATCAATATCACAATTAGGTTCTTCATCAACGTCTTCATCTTTGAACAGCTCTTCAGCGCCGAATTTTAAGATCGCAGTCAAATCTTCTTTATTAAACGGATTGTTATTGGACGAGCCTTTTTTGTCCAATACTGTCCTTCCTGTCGTGTCCATCCTTTGAATAACCAGGTGATCCAAAACCATCTTCTGTTTGGCGCGCTCCACAATCTCTTCCTCTACGCTTCTAGCGGTAACTAACCTATATATGTTAACTTGATTCTTCTGACCTATTCTATGAGCTCTAGCCTGAGCCTGGAGATCATTTTGAGGATTCCAATCGGAATCGAAGATAATCACAGTGTCTGCGGTAGCTAAGTTAATGCCTAGACCACCTGCTCTGGTGGATAACAAGAAGCAAAAATCCGGAGAACCGTCAGCGTTGAAATGATCGAGAGCTTGACGTCGAATATCTCCTTTGATACTACCATCTAGTCTTTGAAACGGGAAATGTCTTAGTTGGAGATATTCTCCTAATATATCTAACATTCTGACCATCTGAGAGAAGATTAGGACTCTATGGCCAGTCTCCTTCAATCTAATCAGTAATTTATCTAATAACACTAACTTCCCTGATCCACGTAAAAGAGTTTGAAGTTTATCTTGCTGAACCTGATAATCATTCTCAACAGGTTTGGTTAAAAAGGCATGGTTACAACATTTTTTAAGTTCAATAACTATGTTCAAGAAAGTGCTAGAAGATCCTTTTACACCCTTTCTTAAAGCATTGTAGTTCTTTGTTAAAATCCATTTATAATACTCTTTCTGAATTGAAGTCATTTCAACGCGTAGGATTTGCTCTACTTTCGCAGGAAGAGATTTCTCAACGTCTTTTTTAACCCTTCTTAAAATAAAGGGTTCTAGTTGTTTGTGTAGTTTCGAATAGCCCCTAGTTGAAGCATGCTCGTGATCTTTTTCAAAATCGTCCCAACTTTCAAATCTAATAAAATAAGGATAATTTTAAAACTAGTTGTATACGCTATTACAAGACTTACTTATTTGGCATAATAAAGTGTAATAAGGCCCACAACTCTTTTAGACTGTTTTGTAATGGTGTACCAGTTATAAGAAGACGGTGATTCGTATCGAACTCCATCAGGGCTTTATATAAAAGAGAATCATCGTTTTTCAATCGATGTGCCTCGTCTACGAGCAACATCGCCCAACTTATACTCCCCAAAAAAGCTTTATCTTTAAGAACAATCTCGTAAGTGGTTAAAATAGCGTTAAATTTCAACCTTTTTGATCCCTCATAGCACCATTCGTATTGACGTATCTAAAATGTAATTGACAAAATAGCAAATGTTTTCTAGAAAAAAAAAAAGATCTTAAAGTAAAACTTACAATTTCCCTTGATTGAACATCGCCAAGATATGTAACGAAGTTCATGTCTGGGGCCCACTGTGCAAATTCTCTTTGCCAGGACGTCATTGTAGATAAAGGAATAACGCATAAAAAAGGCCCATGTAAATGATGTGTATTGAATAGATAGTATAAGAAGCAAATTGTCTGAAATTAATTAAACATTTATCTCAAACCTCTTTTAAGCACAACAAAGCATGATTTAATAAATAGGTTTAATTAATTCAGTATTTTTGGAATTTAAAATTATCACGAATAACAAAAAAAGTATTAATTTACCTGGATAGTCTTCCCTAATCCCATCTCGTCAGCTAATATGACGGAATTTTCTTTTGTCCAAGAATGAATCATCCAATTTAGACCATGGATTTGATAATCTCTAAGGACTAACGTCTAGAAATAAAAAAATAGTTTCATCTAAAAACACTAGATAGAACTTAACGTACTTTTTCTTTGCCGGTCATATACTCGGGTTGTGTTTTAACCTCGTGAAATTTCGGCCTGTTCCTTAGAACTTTGCAGTGTTTCGTCGGAGTTTTCGATGACTGCTCTCTTTCTTGAAATTCTTCGATTTTTTCAGGCCATTTCTTTTGAATTAATGCGGAATCTTCCCAAGTTGATTCTGCGTAAGGTAAACTCTCCCATTTCACATAATAGTCCACACCTTCGTCTGGTTTATTATACTTTGCTGTAATTAAGTGCTTTATCAAAAAATGAACGAAGAAAATAAAAGGGCGGTAGTACCAATAATCCTTTCAACTTGGTTGTGGCTTTTAAGGAGTTCCTGGGTTAGTTCCATTTGGCACTCATAATACTCGACGTCTTCGGGGGTAGAGTATTTCATCCACTGTTGAATTTCGACTTCTTTCTTAATGTAGTTTTCGAGTTTCTTCATGCCTTTGACTTTTTGTTCTCTTAACGACTGATCGGACTCCCAGGTGTTGTGGATATGGGCCCAATCCTTCCATTTAATCAGGTATTGATCTTCGGTGTTTTCCAGATCGTTTGGATCGACACCTACGTTAGGATCACCGTTTTCTTCGACGTAATAGACTGTCGTGATGTTCCCCGTAACTCCTTTCTTGCCCCGTCGCTGACCGAGAACCTTTTCAATGGTTTCGGATTTATCTTCTGGCACAGGCTCAGCAGGCTCTGCTTCGACCTCCAACAGGTCTTCTGAGTCAGTTTTTTCTTCGCTATCTTCTTTGTAGCTGACGGTTGCGTTGGTTCTTCGGGACGCGATGCGCCGTTTGTCATCTCCCGAATCATCTGTGGATTCGTCTGAACTGTACTGTTTTCGTCTCCTCGGGGGGTTCTTCTTTTGGATTTGTGCACGGGACCGAGCACCCACCCGTTTACTGGGGGGAGGCCGTTCTATTTCTTCTTCCGATTCGGAAGAAGAACTTGCATCGTTATATTTCCATTCGTCTCTCGTTTTCTTCTGCTTGTTCTGCTCTTCCAGCCTGTCTCGCGTTCTGCCCGACCTTCGAAGGTCAATATGTTCCTCATCTTCCTATAAAAGAAGTCTACTTTTCAGCATACCAAATCTCTCTTTTTTACACATGCTAATAGAGTCTTGTAAACTAGATAGTAAAAACCAACCATTATTGTTAGCTATTTTAAATGATATATGAAGGGTACAGGGGAAAATTGAGCAGAGTCACAAAAAGCAATTTATACACAATAACGAAAATACTAATAACGTTATTATTAACTAGTTGCCCATTTAAAATAAATACCTGTAAGAATTGTTGCTATAACTTCAATCATCTTCAGAATCAAAGCGTCTAACTGACATTCATTTATGACATGAGTGAACTACAAATTAAGAAATGAAGCAAAAACAATATTAATTTAGAAGCACCTCATTTCATAAAAGACGCGACAATATGGACCCTGATCATTTTTGCGCTGCGCAGCGTTTTTATACGAAACCGACACTGCCATGAGAAAGTTTGGGTTGAGAAGTATAAGAATTTTGCCAAAAAAGGACTCGTGCTCTTTTTTCCTGTGCAACCTTTATATGTATAATTTAAATAAAAAGAACCAGACATTTTGGATAGTTTGCATATTTTCTCGTTAAAATATACAGGGTGGTCCGAAGAGTATTCGGGAAACTTGGCAGCATTTTCTGCAGATAAAAATAGGTAAAAAGGTTCGTATAAATTTATGTTCTAAAATGCTTTGTTTCATTTTTGATTCAATTTTTCCACATAATTTCTGACATAGCGTCGATATTTGAATGAAAACTGGTGCCTGGGAGTCTTACGACATGAGAAATTTGATTTTGATTTCAGTATGACTCCTATTTGGTGATTGATTTTGATGTCAATATGTCTTCTATTTGTAGGGGCGCCACATACTATGTTTTAAATGGTTTGAAGAGTAATAACTATTCGTCCATGTCTGTATAAAACTACCGAGTGAAACAATATATATTTCAGTCATTTTTTACGTAAAAAAGGTCGCTTGGGGGTAAAAATCGCTATGAGTAATGGTTCACGAGATATTTGGAATCGAAATGATCAATACATGTCATCAGTGACATAAATTAAACATGTCGACTAGAGAGTTATTAAACTGAAATAATAAATTTGAAATGTTTTTGTGCCAAAGATTCAACGCAAGTGTATTATCATTTTTTCGAAAAAAAAAACTATGATTAATTTAAATAAATAGAAAGTTACCAAATTTATCAATTCAGTCAAATAACTATCTACTCAACATGTTTATTTTTTGTCATTAATGACATAATGTATTGACTATTTCCATTCTAAATATCTTGAGAACGGTTGATCATAATGATTTTTACCAAGAGACCTTTATTACGTAAAAAATAACGGAAATATATATTTTTTCACTCGGTATCTTTATACAGGTACGGACGAAAGGTTATTACTCCTCAAGTGTTAAACATTTAGGTAGCGCCTCCTACAAGTAGGAGTCATGTTTTTCAGTCGTCAGGTTTTTAAAAATTTATATCGAGTTTCTCATGTCAAAAAACACCGAGACACCAATTTTTATCCAAATTCAAAAATTATTTTGAAAAATCCGAAATAAAAATGAAACTACTAAACCCTGTATCTCCGAAACAAAGCATTCTAGGACATAAATTAAGAACTTTTTTACCTGCAGAATATGCCGCCGAAGTTTCCCGAACGCAGGACCACCCTGTATAAAAAAATGTTTTTCAAATTAAATCACCTCTTTAGATGATTCTGACTTCCGTCTGTTAGACGTTCCAGGACTGCTCGCGTTGGAATGGAGGCCAGGATGGCTGTCTTCGTCGTTAGTTTTAGACGTTTCGAGATCAGAATGGTTCTCATTCTCACCACCACTCTCAGAACCTGATCCGGAACTAGACGAACCAGAGCCGCTGAAAGTAATTTTCCCCGTTTTTACTTAATTTCGAAATAACAAGTTTTTTAAAAATTTTATATAAAATAGCATTAAATTCATTAATCGCTCAGAAAATATTACTTGAGAGTGCTCTTTGTCTACTTTGCAAAATAATTAAAAAATCTAAAATATTCAAAGTAGGACAAAAATATTCGAATACAAACTCGAATATTGTTTAAATTAATTTTGTGCAGTAAATTTTTTTTCTGTACATTAGAAGCTGCACAAAACAAATCGAAATAACATCGATAGAGCAAAGCTCAAATGAAAATACAACCAGGACTAATATTAATATTATATTTAATCATAACACCGAATGAGAAAATATGGCCTTAAATTGCAGAAACATTATCTATATCGAAAGGAAATTGAAACTATAAAAATATTTTCTTTTATTGAAGATTTTACTAATATACATAGACCCTTTTTATTAGTTAATTTGATAACGAAAAAAATTTGGGTAGACTTCAGCAACTAAAATTTAATTAACATAATCTTTAATATATTAAAGATATATAGGTATACAATATACTCATTATTTTTTAAATAAATTAAGATATATTTCTATTGAATAATTGATAAATATACAGCTCTTTACTCATCAATTTGATAATGAAATTATTAAGAGAAGATTTAACACAAATTTAACCAACTAAAATTTATAAATTTACCTATAATATGAAAAATATAAATATAATCATTTTTTTTTAAATAAGTTACAGAGACCATGTCAACTCAATATTAAATTTTTAGGCAGAAATGCTGAGAAAATATCCAGATAATGTAAATACATACTTACCGTTCGAAGACCTCTAGAAGATATGTATGTAATTCTTGAAGAAATGAATATAATTTTGTCCTTAAAATTCTTATTTGTAACTAATACAAATTTAATGGGACTGGTACAACATACTTTTCGAAAAGAATAAAAACAAAAATTAATACTAACCTATCTGAACCAGAGTTCTGTTGACTCTCCGATGAACTTCCACTATCTGATCCTGAATTTTCTGATTCCTCTCCACTCTATAAGGGTTTATTGAAGTTATATTTTGTTTATCACAGTTTATTGGTGTTAGATTAGATGATTTACATAATTTTTGTTCAAAGCTTTTTGTTTATGAAAAAATATACACATTCTAAATAGGTACTTATTTAATATTTTTAAAGTTCAAAAATAGAGTTGCGTCCCTTTCAGAAACTTCCCCTTTATTCAGTCTAATATTGCAATGGTCCCAAAAAATACTTGAACCATTTACTGTATAACTTATTAACTTGTATTGGAGAAATAAAATTACCCCACCATTTTTTCCCTAAAATCTAGAGTATTATTTTGAAAGTTTTTCAACATATTATGTGTGTCTCTAATATATTCTATTTAGTAATACTTCAGAAGCTTGATTATTTGAATTACACGTATCATAAAATTGATTTACGTAAACTTAAGGTTATAACCCCCAATTTTACCCTCTTTTCGAGATTTAAAAGAAAAAATCTAGATAATAAAAACCATTAAAAACCAAAATGTAGCCTTAAATCTGCTTATATTTAAACCCACAAAAATGTCGACTAATTATTAATCAGGAGTTGAGTGTCCCCTACTAGTTAACCCCCTCTAAGGGTTATTATAAACATTTAAATAAGGCAAAAATTAATCTCTATGAAAGTGACCTATTATGTAACAGTTTCTTGCTATTAATGGCATCAAGGGGTATCAAAATACAGGACAGTATACAGCAAGAAGGCAGAATGATAATAGAGAGGTTAATATACAAAATTTTGAGCTCAATTTGCTCAAAAGGGTACATCTAAAAAAATCATTTTTTTTCATGTAAGGCATTCATATAAGTCTAAAGAATGATAATATGCCGAGAAAACTGTGGAACACACAACCCTTTATTGAAAAAAATTGAAAAAACCACTTGTAAACAAAAATATTTAAGGGTAAAGTGGAGAATATGTTACAAGTCTGGGAGCCACGCCCTTGAGTTAACAATGAAATGGTAAGAAGAAAACAGTAAAAAGCACCATAAAAACCATTCAAATTTTCATTTATTTAACTAGATTTATTTCTAAAGGGTAAACTTACCTCAGGCATTGTGAAGAGAAATTTCAAAGAATTTTCGAATATAAACGTGGGTCAATTTTAGTAAAATACTAAATCATAGAAAGAATAATCATCCCTCAATTAAAATCCGTTAAAATTACTTAAAAATATCGTATAATAAAATAAAAAATAAAGTTTTAATGATCACTCTTTAAATCGCACCACAAACCCTCGCCATTTTGATCTCTCGCTACGGACAATGAAATTAAGTAACTAATTCTTAACCGAAATCACGTAAAAATTCACAGTTTTCTTCGTTTTTTCCGTAAAATTACTAAATAAAGTTATACTATCACAATATTCAATTAAAAAGGGTTAAGGTTACAAGTGAGTTCTTGCACTATATTCACAAGCTCGAACATTTTGCGGCCATGTTTGAAATTTTCAGAGACTCGACAGAACGACGACAAAACGTGAACTGCGCATTGTGTCACGTCAAGCAAAGATGGCCGCCAATTTTATGGCGAAAACATATTTCGACCAATCAGAAACCTTAACGTCACTCTGACGGACTTTAGGCGCTCTTTACAAAGAGACGATTTTGCTTTGAACAAGAAATTTACCAAAAGGAATGAAATAAATTCAATTTTACATCACATCCGGCCCGCGAAATTCAAACTGATCTAAAGGAACATTCTAGAATAAATTTTATAATTAAATCGCTCTAGATCCCAGCCAAATACGTGATTATTTCGGTTAAATATTATATTTCTGTAATTCTAGTTTGTCAAGATATTTTTGCTAATATTTATAAAATTTGTTAATATTTTTATAATAATAATTTAACCACATTTTATTAAGATCAATAATAAGTGGCAAAAATCATCCTAAACTAATGTAAAGAGCGCCATTTTTTTGTATATATCTATAGGAAAAATCTATTTATTTAAATTAAAAAAAAATATTATTCATTTTATACCTAAACTTCATTTTATTGCACAACTTCTCATATAAATTTAATATTTTTTGTTTTTACAATTATATAAACAAAACATAGATATACGAAATCACAAAAATATGGCATTTTATTCATTTTTTTAATTTGGTTGAAACAATTAACTAGAAATAAAAATTTTTTGGTCCAACACAAAAATAATTGAAATAAATGTCTTTTAGTGCAAATTAACCACTCAAATGTAAAACTGATCAACTGATATTTATAAATGTTCATAAAAAAAACAATTTTCAATGAACACTTTTAGCATATACCTTACAGATACTAACATTTCAAATATTTTAATAAATAAAATTGAATACTTTTATCACAGTATAATATATACTGTGTTTGAAATATACATGAGTTTATTTTGAATATGCTAAAAGTGTGTGTATGATTAAGTCTTCATCTCATAAAAAATCCTAAATAAAACATAATTAAGGATGTTACCCTTAAAACATATCTAACATCCCAAATATATTAAAAAAAAACAAGCAAGCACTACTATAGAGATTTCTTTTAAACAAGTTTAGCAAGTAAACTTTTGGAATGCTTTCATAGGACCCATGAAACCATGTCTACACATAAAGTTTTACCTTTCAGTCTTACCTGGGAAAACGTTGTGTGCACACAGGGCTCTAGAATTTTATAAAACAAAGCTATATTACAGAACAGGTTTAATCACATATAAATAATTTCTTAATGTCCATTTAATAATGCAAATCACAATAAGAGATTAAAAAGATATATTTATATAAAAGCAATATTATTAGCAAAATATTTGTACTTAGGATTTATCAAGGTAATATTTATGCTAAACTTGCCAATGTATATTGCCATCAAAAATATGTTAAAGCTCTATGTAATCAAAACAAAACATATTCACCACAGTTTGTTGATGTTCTAGGAACCTTGTGCCTTAAAACCAATGCACTTTCGGCTGATATGATCGGCAAGGAATTGTCAAAATGAAACTGGATTAAGTGATTCACGCTGTTAAACATCCTGTCTTTCGTCCTGACCTGTAAAGAATAAATTCAAATTAAAAACAAACTGTGTATGGGTCATTGAATAACTAGAATATTATTTTCTACTAAGAGTCCAATAGTAAAATAAGCGTTCGACATTTAACGTTTTATGTAAAACTGGCTAGGTATTTTTACACGGAGATAAAGAAGGAAATTAAAGATAATGAAGATAAAGGATTATACTATATCCTTACTGTAGCACATTTTTAGACAACTTCTTTATTTTTAAGATTTTGATGGTGAAACATCAACAAAATATTCCTTATGTTTGGACTAAATTTTCTCGAAAATAAAGATATAATTTAAAATTTCGTTACAATACAGAAATAGATTAAGTTTTAGGATTAGAGTGATATATAATTTATATTAACTACTTACTATGCCTTCCGGATCAATTAAAAGGAGATGCTTCTTGTTGTTGTCCTGCATTCCAGAAAGCACAAACTGTCCAGGTGTATTGGTGGACTCCCTCACCAAAAAGTCACCATCTTTCTGCAGCAACCTTTCTGCTTCAGCCCTGGATATTCTTCCATGGAACCACGTTTCATTTTTTAGTTGTGCAAAGTTGTCCGTTTCACTTCTGGAAGATCCTTGATGATGTGTAAATGGTTCTGAAAGAATTATTTTTAAAAAAAATTCAAAACAAACTGTTAAGAAACTTACGCATATCAAAAACATCGCGTTCCCGTGCAACTGTCACACTGTCATTGACATAGTCGTGATGGGGCCCATCACATGAGGCTATATCACAATTGAAGTCGATTAAATTAGGTGTTACAGGTGGAAGAGTGGTGAAAGGGGACACTGAGGCAGGTAGAGGAGGTACAGGTGGGGGGCCCATCATAACATCTGGTGGAACCTTTCCTGGAAGATCATTGTAGTAGTCTTTGTCTGCATCACCGCCAGTTTGAAATGATGAATGACCCACAGCAGTTGCAAATCTGTGAAAAACAAGATAAAAAACATTATTTTATGTATAATTATGCTGACAAAAAACAGCTTACATATTAGGCTTGGAATACTGTTGAAACCTCAACTCAAAAGCCTGACCAATTGTAACAAGGACATCTTTAGCTAGCCCTCCACCACATTCTAGGACATAACAAGCTCTTAATTCATTCGAATCTTTTGCAATGTAACTCACAAAATCCAATGTTTCCTGTAATATATATATTGCCAATAAGAACAACAGCTGATGGAAATTATATTTTATGTATAACCTACACTATCTCCTCCAGAAGCAAAAGAAATTTTTGGCATTTCATGATTGGCTATGATCTGGTTGGTTTCCAGCGAAGTCAACGATAGATTTGCTCCAGATACCTTTAGAGTGACGTTGGTTCCAGCATGACTCATGTTAGGAGTATCTGCAATGGCTTTGGATACCTTTTTATCCACTTTCTTCTTTTTATCCAGGGTTTTTAAGCCTGCAGCTACACATACCCGGCTAATGCATTCCCTTCAAGAAATATACACATATTATATAAAAATATACAATAAAAATTTATATAATATATGCTTACCTTGCCACACTGGATCTTGTCTTAAAATCCAATGTTTTCATCGATACTTTGATCTCCAAGCAGCCCACATACTGAAAATACATATTATACTTGTGAATTAAGTTTTACATGATGATATTAACATGAAAGAAATCAACAAAATTTGTTTATATAATTAGCAGAGTAAAATAAAATTATGTTGAAGTATTTTAACATTTCCCAATACTTATAAAAACAAATATATTAATATGGAGAAGATATTAATACTTTCTGTGGATTTTTCGAGAACAAATACGTGGCATTTTAATACGCAGTACGCACGTACAGATATTTTTTTGTTCTAGAATTTGGGTGTGGCAGGTGATTTAATATTAGATTGAAATGAAAGGCAAATATTTTTGGGGTTGAAGATGATTGATTTCTTCAAAAATGAACGGCAAATGAACTATAAAAATGTAGAAAAATCTTACCTACCCTTACAGCATATGTTGCTCCCTGGCTAGCCATCAATCTGTCTGAATGCATTCCTCCAGTAGGTTTTATGTTGAAAGTGGCCATTTTAGGGTAGGTTTTCGTGACAGAGAAAATTCCACGAGGGCATTCTCCAACGAATTACGTATCGTTGGACTTCTGACTACAATTAGGACAGCAATACCTCGTTATGTAGCTCGACTCCATGATGCTTTGTTCTGCTTTCACGACTACGCGACCTTTACCAGCTGGTAATACCACTTTGTTATGGTCCTTTTAAAAGGCGTTCACGACGTGTAGTAACAAACTCTAAAAAAAACTTCAGTTGCTCTTTTGCTTCTTAATATTATACAGCCACATATTTTTCAGTTTTAATTCCAACAGAGTTCGATTCTGGACTAAATATTTTAGGCGAAAATGAAGGAGACTAGGAGACTGGCATCTGGAAAAATGGGTGCATTGGTATTGTGAGTTGCCTATGAAAGCATTCGTTGTGTTGGAAGTTGCTAGGTAGGCTCATAGATGTCTCATATCCCGACACCTTCGCCATAACTATCGTTTTTGAATGTTACAATCAATGTATGATGTTATCATATTTTATTATAAAGTAATTAAAAATGCTTGATTTAAATATAATTAAAAAGGAAAGGAGGTGTAAATAAAGCAACAGTTAATTGTTTAACAAATCTTTACTATAATTTGTCTTTTATAACTCGTCGTGGGAGACATTTAGAAAATAGCTTACAGTAATATATATGTACAACATTTAGGTGCATTTAAAAATCAAATCTAGTGTTGGCCCTTTATTACATATCTTAGAAATACGTCCTAGAATAGTATAATCATAAAAATATCGAAATGTACACAGATTATACCAGTACGCCTTGTTAATACCTACAAAAAATTTCGTTTTTAATGCACCCATTAAGTCTGGAAATAGAATGTAGTTTAAAAATATTAGAATCTGATGTTGCACTAATATACAGGAAAATATATTATTTTAATTGGTAATATATACCGAGATAACCAATCTTAACTACAAGAGAGATATCAATTTTGCTCAAATGCAGCTGTTTCATTTTGTTAACCATCTGTATTGATTGAATATTGAAGCAGAAAGGATGGCTCATAGAGATTTGATTTTCTAATCATGTGCTGGCATCGCATATCACTAAATTCTAATTACGCAGATTTGCCAGGATAATGAAACTTTGTTCCTCTATTTCACTTCACTCAGGCGTATAGTAGCTGATAAAATTCGGTAAACAGCTGTTTTCCTTTGAGTGTTTTGGCTGTGTTATGCGGGAGTCTACACGAAAAGCCACCATTTTTCGTCCAGATTACGTACACGAACGGACAAAGATTTAATTAACAGTTTAAATATTCCAAAATATCCCTATCGATCTCGTACTACAAATTATTTTAAATTTTACAACGCGAGTATATTAAGAAAAAATGTTTTTTATATCACTTTTCTAACAGACTTTGTCTATATAAAAAATGAAATAAATTATTAAATCGATATTAATAAGTGTCAACCGCAATTCTATTTCCATAACAGAACAATAAAGCATATATTATACATCTACTAATTGAAATTCACAATTTTTTCGTTGAAATTTTACACCTGGTATAAAACGCTCTATCAAGAAATATCAAATTATACATTAAGAACCTCTTGATACTGCCTGGTATACAATATTCGTGTTACCCTTGTATATGCGTTTTACGTAATTCTTACTTTGCACCAAATTTCAAATCCATTTTATTTACCAAAATCAATGCCTATTGAAAATAAATGGCATTCATAACATACTTTAATGTTCTTGGTCAGTGTAAGTATTTATTTTCAGCAACTACACTGTACAATATTATTTACAAACACAGTAAATACATAGATTTTAATTTCTGTTATGTATTTCTTAATTCAGGCATAAACTAATTCAGTGACAACCTGTTGTAAGAAAAATAAATTGGGTATAAATTGTCAATGTAAAACCTAGAGTAAGTAAATATTAAATATACAAAGATAACTATAACACGTTTTGTAGTTTTAATAAAAGAAGTGCGCTAAAAATAATCATTTTGTTTGTGTATATATATACATATACAGGTCATCACTGGTGTTATGTTGAGAATACAACATTGAATGAATAGAATATTCTTATATTTATATATATCTTTACTTATTATATTTACATAAGGTATAGCAATAAGAAAATAATTGGCAGATATTGTTCAATTTATAAAAATATTACTAGTCTACTTGAATATAAACTGAGCAACTTATACAAAACTCTAGTTTTCAACTAAAGTTTCAAATTTTATCAAAAAATTACTCCCTGTACAAAGTTGTGAAATGCTTGGCACTAAAAAAAATATAACAATTATCTTACCATTAACACTTATACAGCAACTATATCTCAGAAATTTAATTTATTTATATCCAAACCTAGATTTTTGATTTATATATTTAATTTTGTCCTTAAATATATTAATTTATATTTATAAACTCTAAAAACATTCAACCCTATATAGGTATATATCTAGTATTCTTAAAGTATACAAGAGAATATATACATACTTTTGATGCAAACAATATTTTTTTAGAGTACTTACATTTTAATAGGAAACATTCGATATAAATATAAACAGACATTGTTAAAAAAAAGTAAATTTTTGCTCTATTTAGAATGTGCAGACTCTACTTTAGTGCTAAATACTGAAAAGTTTACTTTTAAGACAGCCCTGGTATAACTAAATAATTACGCATTTATCAGGTATACATTAATCCAACCGAATCTGTTTATACCAAACTGTGAATACTGGTATAATAGAAATCAGAGATAATATAGTTATGTTTGTTATAAACGTGTATCAAGATGAGAAAACATGATGGGCTTCCAAAAAATATTTTTAAAAAAGCATTTCCTTTTTTTCAAATTTTTACAAAAATAAAAAAGTAATATTACTCTAGAGACAATCGGAGTTATTGATTTTGAGTTTATAAGAGAAAATTTTAGTGGGCAAAAAGTTAGGGCAGCTTTTATCCGTTTTATGCTGGAAAACGTATTTCTTGGAAGCAAATCACTGCGTCGTCAACATGTATACATTTCAAGAGTCTGTTAAAAATACACATTTCTTTCCCCGCCTATATTCTTTATACTATTACAGTCTTGGTTTTATTGGTCCTTGCACATCATCTTTTGATATGATATCACTTTTATGGTGCCATAAATTTCACACCATCAACTTGACTACAATGTGGCTAACTAGAGCACGAGCACCTCCTTTATTTTCCATCTAAACTTCCATTTTAAAACTCCAATCACCTTAACAGCGAACACAGAGTAAATATAACCAGAAGAAGAGTTGAATTGGACGACTTGAAATGGACACCTGCTGTTTGAACTGCCGCTGGTAATTCACCTGTATTAAAGACATTGTTTAAATCATACTGTAACTATATAAAGCTGTGTATTTTTTGGACTTAAAAATAGAAAAAATATACAAAGTAGTCCCTTTGTTCATGTTTTATTATAAAATCTTTATATCTGATTTATCTAACTATCAAACATAATAATATACCAAACTAAGGCTTATCTTCCCATGACGGTTGTGTATTACTGGTTACATAACTTTATGATTCTATAATTCTAATTTTATATTATAATATTAGATATATAATTCGTTTTAATTTGTAAATAATAAAACAGAATATATTTAAAAATAATAAAATAAATTTTAATAAATAAGTTAAGTTAATTATCCATAATCAAGGGTTAAATTAAAAGAGCATTTTGCGAGCATTCATATTTTTCATATATATACGATGATAGTACTGATCTTTGCCGACTAGATAGCGCCATAGGCAAAAAGGACGCGAAGTTCAATTGTTTTCCGCTAGGGTCGCCATATTATGGCGTCTCTTCAAATTAGAAGCATCTTTAATGTTAAAAAATATTCCAGATTTGAGCTTTAAAACGCGACTAAATATTCAAAATCGATTGTAAAGTGAAGATTAATTGTTTATCTACGCTCTATAATACACAGAGTCTCGTGTATCGCTATATTCGCTTTATATCCACGGACGCGTCGCGGCCAGGATTGAATGTCGGACAAAGCTTTCCATTTATGTCGAATTTATGAAGAATTCATTATGACTTTTGGGTCATATTGAATTTGGATGTGTTCACAATAAACTAAGAATATAAACCCTGAGCTGTGCTGTCCCAAATAAGGGCATAGTCTTTCATCCTGGCTGGCTCTGTGTATCGAGTCGTGAGTTCCATGGAATTCGTTTCTCTAATTCGGTAATAATAAAAATAGGAATAAATAACACTATAAAACAGACAGAAGCATATTACGTTTGTGTAAAAATGGTAAGCAAACCTGATTTCATAAATATGTAAGATTTATTATTTCTTCTCTGTCTTTACCAGTTGCCTCTATGTTCCAATTATATACCATATAAGAAGTCATCTTGATAAAACTGTTTCATGATTAAGATCGTTTTGTATGTTTATGGTTAAACAAATTCTCTTTTTAATTGTATTTTGTGTTGCCCCAGTATTCGAAGGCGCATTATTGTATTTAGCAGCAAACTTCTATATTATATACATGGTCCTTTTAGGAGCAAGTGTAGTTGTTCACATAAATGTAAATTCTAAAATAAATATAATTTAGCTTACAATAAAGAAATTTATTTTACTTTATTATACTTAAAATACTTTCACTAAAAACACTCAATTATAAGACTCACTATAAATACACTAACTCACTAGTAAGAGTGAAAAGTTTATTTACAAAATGCGGAATGTATATATATATATAGAATGAGAATTCAAGTTATTTTAAAACAAAACTGATGAAACAAATTAACTTTGAGGATTTTGTAAACAGAAATTTCTTGGTTATTCTGCTTATTTTCTTTTATCTTCTTCTGTGATCTTCTTTATCTATTTTAGGCGCTAAAACTTGAATCGACGCCTATAAACGTGATTAATGGAGATTAATTCTATCGACCATTTTCAAAGTTCTATTGAGAGGGATATAAAACATTTATAATTTTATATATTTGTGTATCTGTTTATATTATTTTTAACTATAATATTTAAACAGAATATTATTGTTTGTTATAGATGTTTACATTTATTTATTAGGGAAATAAATAATAAAACCTGCAGTTTCACAGTAAACGAATGAATTAATATATTCGAATGTTTTGGGTTTGATTAAAATAGTTCTAAATTATTAAACAACGTTTAATAACGACTTTCAAATAAAATTACTCATTTACCACTTCACAGCAAACTCGCCATTTAGAGCCACTTTACTTCTACAGCCTTGTTGAATGTAATGAGCTAATGACACTTAAATCTCTGATAGTGTTCAATTAAAGTATCAACATTTAAAGTTACACAAATCATAATTAGTTAACTATATACCTACATAAGTAATTAAAGCGACACTTTTGACCATCCTTATCCAGAATATATTATTTTAGATTTCATTTTATTTACATACCTATCACAATTAACATACTTCGGTTTTATAACACTCAAGATTGAGTTTAAGGAATAAAAAAGCAGGTTTTGCTCTATTAAAAAATTTGGCCACTATAAGCTCTACTAAATTGTTTATATAGTTTCAAACCAATAGAAGTAATGTAATATCTTTGCTGGAAAAGAGAGAAGCACCGGAGTTGAAAGCGAAAAAAGTCTGGTATCAACGAGAGAGTAAAAGAATTTATTGTCTACAAATTTCAAAAAGAGCTAGGAACATTATTACAAGCACTTTGAGCTTTAAACAAACTATCAAGCTTTTAGCTGTAAAACTAGGTATTCTCTAGGGTTTCGCTGTTAAAAGTAACTCACGTGGATGTGGATACACGAAGATACGGATCTATAATTATAAAATGTTTATTGGAATTTACCTTCGAGAATTGAGTGTATAATTAGAATTAATTGCTTATAGCTCTCATCCAACACAATACTAACATTTTAAAATAATTTGCTTGCAATAAAAGTTAATCTTATTAATGCCATATGTATACATAAAATATGCATTAAAAACACTTAGATTTACATTGATATTATATCCTAGAGCCTCTTAGTAGAATATTTTTTAGAATCCAGAAGTTTTTAGAATCCCAAACCAAACAAAGTTCTTCGCCTCAGTTGTATTACTGGTTATATAACTGTTGTATCCTTAATTTCCAATTTTTCTTTTATATATTATTCTAAATTATATAAGGTAATAAATTAATTAAATTTGTAAATTTTGGAATGTAGATAATCTGATATTATTTCTTAAAATTACTTGTAATAGTAGGAATCTTTTAAAATATCTCTGTAGTTGGCGCTATAGTAAAATAAAAAATTCATTTATTTTCCGCTAGGGTGCCACATTTGGCGTCCTTTCAAACAGACGCGTCTTTTGAGTTTAAATATATTCCAGATTTTAAACATAAATAAATATCCAAAATTTGATTGAGGAGTAAAGACTAATAATTATTGTTCTTTTACGCTTTGTTAAATACAGAGCTTTAAGTATCGCTTTATTCGTAATTATATTTAAGAATTTTAAAATATAATTCTTTTGGTAGGGTCCCGGCATACTCATGGTACTTAAGAGCCAACTTAGAAAATTAGATATCTGGTCTACAGCACTTAAAGGTAAGTTCTAAAAATAAGTTGGAGGTTGGTTAAAGTTATATTGAAGAACTACATATATGATATAAACATTATATTGTATGTTAATTAAGGTATAAATAATATACAATAATATTTAATAACAATATATTCAAATATAGAATGATTATAAAAGTATTATGATTGAGAAATAATTTAATATATTTAACTGTAAACAATCAAAGTCAGCTTGAATATAAAAAAAATGTTCATACAAATATCAGTCAGCTTGAATATAAGAAAATGATTCATATAAAGCATATTCATTATTTCTTACCATCACTTGTTCCATTAAAAAGTTCACTCACAATTACATATTAATAAAAATAATGTCCATCTAATAATTTAACTTTACTTACTTCACACACACATACATATATCTTCAACATAACTTTGCCAATACATTTATTGTTTTTAAATATACTTATTGTAACCCTCAGAGACATAAGTTTGTTTTTAAAAAAAAATTATAGATATCTTAATAAATTAAATCTAAATTCTTTTCCTAAAATATTTTTCCGATTTTTTTTAAGATTATTCAAAATAGATAAATTTCAATTACTGAATATCATCATGAGCTGTTGATATTTTACACAAGTTTTTAATTCCTTCAACTGGAACTGTAAAAATTAAACTCATGTCGGAAATAAACGGCTACTATTCCGCCTGTTTTTAATACCCGATGAAAAAAGGAGAAACCCATATACGTTCATTTTGGACAATAGATAATTATTCTCAATGTACGCAAGGTACACAATGCACTTACATGATAGAGACTGAAGTACTGTTTGCAATGTAATTGAAATGTCCTCAAAATTGACAGGGATTGGAAAATTTTACGTATATCGGTTTTTCACTTCATCAAAATGAAATGAAAATGTGAAATTCGCAGAAATAAAAACGGCCGTGGATCAATGAAATATTATTATGTATTAAGTTAAACGAAATATAAAATATTTAAATTTGTTTTAAATGTGTATTATAGTTTTCTGTATTACTATTTATAAACAAAATAATAACAATTAACATTTTAATATTTTATCATTATTTTTAATAATTCTAATAAATGCTTACCATTGATGACGTGTACGGCAACAGTTCTTGCAGCTAGATTTCCCACTGTGCAAGTGTAGTTTCCTGAATTGCGTTTTTCTAAAGGTGTTATAGTCAAAACAGATACTGCAGAATCAGATTCCTTGGTTATATTCAAGCTGCAACAACAAGAAAACCATTTTTTTATACAGGGTGGCCCATCGAAAACGTTCCTCAAGGCATAACGGCCAGGGTAATTTTTTTTTCAGAAAATCCAAAAAACACGTCAATTTTGTTTGTGAGGGGGACAACTTTTGCCCCAAAAATGATTGCAAAATCTTCAACCCTCTAAGCGGGGGTGTCATCCCCCAACTTTTTTCAAATGGGAAGGGGGGTCAAGTGGCGCCGCAATGAAAAGAGCTATCTATTCTCTATATATCTCCGCTTCGTTTTTGAAAATCGGTCGAGTCATTGAGAAAATATGAAGGATTGAAATTTGAAAAGTTTATTTAAACATTTATCAGAGTAAATGATAAGGATAAATTCCTTCGACCAATTCGCTGTTTTTTCTTATTATTTCTAGATGTTTACGCATTTTTTCACTTGCCACAAGGTTGAACGATCAGGTGCGGTAGTTGCTAGATAGCTGTTCTGTGACTTGTGCGTTGATGTTCTTCTCAATATCGTTAAACTTTTTAAGAATTATGGTGTACTCACTTGCAGAAAAAGTGGATATGATCGAACTTTATTTTAAAAATAATGAATGTGGCAATCGGTTTGCGCAGATATTCAATGAACGCCATCTTGACAAACACCTTTATGGCAAAATTGTTCGCGATTTAGTAGCAAAATTTCGCGAAACTGGTTCCGTTATGAATAAAAAAGAGACAGAGGGAAAATCCTGTAGTAAATGAAGCTATGGAGGTATTCGTATTGGGCCAAGTTGCCATGGGTAGTACGCTGAGTACAAGAAAATTAGCCAATGAGACCGCGACCGGCGTGAATCGTACAAAGTGTCCAAACGATATTAAAAAAACAAGTTCCACCCGTACAAAATTTCAGTTGGTACAAGAACTCAACGAAGACGACTTTTGATCGTCGCGGGCTGGTATTTTTGGAAATTCTATTGTGGGTCAGTTTAACGATATTGAGACCGCACCTGATCGTTCAACCTTGTGGCAAGTGAAAAAATGCGTAAACATCTAGAAATAATAAGAAAAAACAGCAAATTGGTTGAAGGAATTTATCCTTATCATTTACTCTGATAAATGTTTAAATAAATTTTTCAAATTTCAGTCCTTCATATTTTCTCAATGACTCGAAGCGGGGAAATACTTTCAAAAACGAAGCGGGGAAATATAGAGACTAGAAAGCTCTTTTCATTGCGGCGCCACTTGACCCCCCTTCCCATTTGAAAAAAGTTGGGGGATGACACCCCCGCTTAGAGGGTTGAAGAATTTGCAATCATTTTTGGGGCAAAAGTTGTCCCCCTCACAAACAAAATTGACGTGTTTTTGGATTTTCTGAAAAAAAATTACCATGCCTTGCGGAACGTTTTCGATGGGCCACCCTGTATAAAACCCAACACCTCTATAAACAACTGGAAAATTATATAATACGCGGTTCAAATATGAGCCACTAAACTGTAAAAAACGATCATATAAAAGACCCTAAAGTAAGAAAGGCGTTAAATTTCGCTGACAATGATTTTTTTTAGAAAGATATATGGGAGAGATTTTTTTATTTATATACATATAACAAAAAATAATCACTTCAAGATTAGATGTTTTGTCAGACAAAGCAGTTTTTCGAAAAAAAAATACAATTCATTTTTTAGGGATGACATTAGAAAAAGAATATGCTTTCTTTTATATTCTTTGTAATACGGGTCAACTTCTTTTCAGCCTAAATTCTACTTTTTTTTTCTTTACATGAAATATCTATTAAATTTTTTTTGAAAAAATTTAAAAATCAAAAGCCTTTCAAATGAGAATTGTTTATAAAGTTTACCATGCCTTACATGTCATTTATTATTGTAACAATTTGTTAAACATTCTTGTCAAACAATAATTTTTATTGGACGCGTTTGGTCACTGTGATGTCGTTTTAAGTTCAGAGAATAAATAGCCTTTAAAGATCCGATACGTTTTACATGTCAGATTTACGTGGTAAAACGAAATATCGCCTAATTATAGCATTGTACTTAGTGAATTTGAAACAAAAGCATGGAATTTTACTACAAAATTGTATTTATGGTGTAATTTTTTTTGTAAATATGCAAAGCTAATTGTGAAAATAGTATCGTTTGATAGTAATCATTAGTATCCGTAAACAGTTTTGCAAAATTACATTATTTTTTGGAACTATCTAAAATATAAGGTTTTTAAAAGTTGCTTATTAAAGATGCTGTAATATATCCATATTATTTTTTGTAAATTTACTTATATTTTATTACAATATTTATTACAATGATTCAGTTTTCTAGACGGTCATCAGAGAGTTTTTTGGTATACACACAAGGTTTTACTTGATACGTTTTGACTAAAGAGGTGAGACTGAAATGTAAAATGGTATGTGTAGACGTAGGCTTAACGTAGTTATGTATATTTTGGAGATACGAGTATATTCTTAGTGAGAAGATTAAAAAAAATACTAACGACCTGAGGGTTTTTATGTGGGAGGAGATAGCCATCCCTTTTTAGGGCGAAGTGCTAGACAAAAAACGTTTTAGACATCAGGAAAGCCTCAAACAAGAAATTAGATAAACAGAAAAGGAAGGAGACTAAGTGTGTTTAGGCGCCTAAGAAACTTTTGTCGAGTTCGATTTTTAGCGGGATTATATGGGCCCTAAAATGAAAGCGAGAAGCAACTTTTGACTTAACTTCATTTAATTATTTTGTCGTAAAATTGTGTAAAGCTTCATAACAGTGAAAATGAATAAAACATTTTAACTTTTAGTTTAATAATATTCCAAAAAGATAAACAAATATTCTAAAAATAAATTAACTGAAACTTGTATTAAAGCTTCGTCCACACGTAACGTTTTACCTGTTCAGTCAAAACGTATCGAGTAAAATATAGTGTAAACAAAAGAACGGTGTGTTTAACTTGAATTGAATTAAGACTGTCTAGAGTACTAGCAAGATCATTCAGTTTTACAATAAATCTGTCTTTTTGCCTACATTGAAAACATACCGGGACCGTCTCAAAAGTGACTTACCCCTATAACTTTTTTTTTAGATAAAAAAATAAATTTGGTATGTTAGTATATGACATAAATTAGGATTGACTATTCAATTATTTTTGGTCACTTCCTGTTTCACCGGAAATGACTACAAGTTTTAATTTTTAAATGGCACCTTTGATTTTTTTATTTTATTCGATAGAAAATGACTCTCTGAATAGAATGACATATGATATGTAAACTTGAACATATAGTTTATTTGAAATCGTAACATGCGGTTCATAGCGACAATTCCTCGAAATACCAAGTGTGTGGTAGTAAATTGTTCGTAAAAAAATGCTTTTTCGAAAATGCTATTGAGCCACCCTTATTCCATTTGAAAAAATTGGCCAGGACAAGAGACGAAAAACATTAGAAGATCAAATCTATTTTTCCAAGGCAATTAGTGTTTTTAACACAGCCATGGCACTCTAGATTGAAATTTAAAATACGTTTCCTTTTAAGCAAAAATGTCAAAAGTTGATATATGATATGTCATTATATTCAGGGCGTCATTTTCTATCGAATAAAGTAGAAAAATACCGAGTGTGTCATTTAAAAATCAAAAGTTGTAGTCATTTCTTCCGGTTAAATAAAAAGTGATCAAAAACAATTGAATGTGTCAATCAACCCTAATTTATATTAAATACTAACTTACCAAATCTCGTTTTTTTTTCTCTGAAATAATAAAAAAGTTATAGAGGTGAGCCACTTTTGAGATGCACCCGGTATATGGTCTTAAATAAGTGCAAATATTTTTAGGAGTAGTATATTTCGACCCCAGAAACACGATTATGATTTTTTTGTAGTTAAAAACATAATTTCTTGATAATATGGTAACATAGGTAGTAGATTAAATTTACAAGAAAGAAAACCCAGAAAAGAGCTGGTGGTTCTCAATTCAAGCAAAAAAAAAATTCTTTTGGAAATTTTTAAAGTAAAATAACTGGGTTATTTAGGACTTTGAAAAACGGGAGTTAATATATTTCTGTTATCGAGATCTACTAACCCTTAAAATATTTGCGCTTATTTAAGATTTACTCTGTATAAGCATTGTAGCAATATTCAATGTCTTTTCTTTTTAACCACACTAAACACATTGGCAATAATTATTAATAAACTCACAGATAAAACTTTCAGTGTGTAGGCTAATTTTTAATGTGTCCTACTTAATACTTGAATTCTGAGGCTTTACCCAATTTTTGTCTACTTTTTGAACATCACACTTTTCTTGTTAGTACACTTTTATTTTATTTCCAGCAGCTTCAAAAAGAAAGCATATTACAGGCCCTGCTTTGTAGTTATCCAATTGTGTCCAAATTAATTCAATACTGAAAATCTAAATTTGAGCTAGTTTAGTTTTCGATGGGGCTGTCCGACCTTTGTCAGATTTTTTTTCAAAGACAGGAGCTTCTGTCGACGTTGTTGTAAATTTTTGTTGGAATACTGAAGACCTTTTTTTCCAATTTATTTATCAACTTTCCAAAGAGTTTAAACAAACTAAGTGAAAAAAGAACCTCAGAGAAAAATAAATGGATTTTATTTTTCTTTAAACGACATTATAAAAAATAAAAAGAAAAACTCTTTCAAATAATTTCCACAGAAAGAGAAAAAATTGTAAACTTGTGTATTTTTTTTTTGTTTTCGATGTTCAGTATAGCAAAAATAATCTGAATATTGAAGCGAATGATTTATATATTTTTTGTTTTTGTCCTGGGGACTTAAAACCGATAAATCTAAAGAAAGATCTATGGAAAAATAAATAAAATAAATTAAAAAGAATTGGATATACTTGCTTCTAACTCTGATTATTCAACTCATAATAACTAAATTTATTATTCCTTTTAAATTAATTTATTTTAAAATTATTTAAGAGTAACGTTCCATTTATTTATTTTTTTATTAACTTGCCTAATACCAATCGGTTTCTTTTTTCGATATTTCTTAGATTTATTG